ACCAGTTCAGCCAGCAAGCAGCCTGATTCTCCTACCCCACTAAAAGTGTACAATAAGAAACGAAAAATTCTTCTGCATGATGAAAATGATGAAGCAGAGGCTGAACACTTTGCAACAGGAGGCTCAGAACATGTTTCTGAACCAGCTCCCAAGGTCTCAGAATCCATTCATGCAGAACATGTTTCTGAAGATCCATCACCTGTTCAGGGGGAGATTCCACTAGAATCAGCCACAGGGTACAATCAGTCTGAGGAAGCTAATGTCCAAGGTCAGCCATCCGAAAATCAGAACATCCTTTCTATTCTGCTTGAGATTAAAGACAAGCAAGCTGCTCTAGAACAACATATGCAGAATCTACATAACATTGTTGAGGAAAACACCAAGGCTCAACAACTTCAGGCAGCAGCAGATAAAGCAGCATTAGAGAAAGCCATTACTATGTGCTCATCCAACATGGATAAGGCCATAAGTCAATGCAGCTCGAAGATTGAGGAGGCTGTCTCAATATTGGAAAATTTTCAACTGATTAGTACTCCCAAAAAATAGCCTGTTTTTCAACATTTCTCTCCACTTTTTTTCAATTGGTCTGTAATATATCTCATACTTTTTGTTAGACTGGTTGATTAATTAAATATCAGTACCTTATTCTCTCTATTATTATCTTTTTGCTGATGACAAAAAGGGGGAGAAATTATGTGCAGATTTGCAGGTTGTATTCAAAGGAAGAAAGACACAGATATCAACAGAGTTTGCTCTTTCAATCTGTGTTTCAGGAGCTTAATATGTTTATTTATTTTCAAAATAATTCAATCTGCAAGAAAGTTTTGTCACCATCAAAAAGGGGGAGATTGTTGAGGAAAACTCCTATTGATTTTGAAGTTGACAAAACGTTCTATGTTATTGTAAATCTGATACTGATTCTGAACAAATTTATTCCAGTGTCCGTATATTCGGAAGCTCGAAGAAAGTTATTCGAGACTTTACAAACCTGTCAAGTATGTTTTTAAAGACCCACATAATCTAGGTTTCGAGATTCGGACGCAGAAATTCTTCGAGACTTGCACGCAGACGCAGAAGTTCTTCGAGATGCAGACGCAGAATTTCTCCAGACGCGAGAATTCGAACGTAACACAACAGCTAGTGATCCGGCATGGATTTCACAGAAGGAATGTTCTGATTGTCTCAATCTGAATCAAATTGATTGACAATCAAACATCACGACAAGAATGTATTACAACGGACAAAGCTCTACTTATGGAAACCAAGATTCTGATTGTATGGGCGACCAGAATCAGCAGGATTCAGAATCTATCATCCAACGGCTACTCAATCCTTATTATACAAATCTGTCCAAGGTAAAGATTGGAAGATGATCCTCTGAAAGCTGTCCAACGGCTAGTTTGGAAGTAGAGGAGTATTTAAGGAGATCAACGAGCAGCATAAGGTAGTACAGAATCAAGAATCAACAAGTCCAAAGTCTGAGCATACTCCAATCATTTCTCTTGTCGTTTTAAGCCAAACATTAAGATCTTGAGGGACACTTTGTAAGAGTGATTGTGTGAGATAGAGAGTCCTATCATACACAAGAGTGTTAATACTCAGAAGTTGTAATTCCTCTTGATTACATAGTGAAATCCAGCCGGTAGGCTGTAAGCGTGGGAGAGTGGACGTAGGCTTGCTATAAGCCGAACCACTATAAACTTGTGTGCAGATTCTCTATCCCTTATCTCTTACTTTACATTCTGCACATCAAGAGCACCGTCTATATAATCTGTCTTGAATCTGAATTTTATTCAGACTCTTCTGTGATTTATTTTGTTTCCGCATAAATTACTAAAAATTGTTTTAGATCACCTATTCACCCCCCTCTAGGTGATCCTTGCTAGCTACATCAAAATGGTTGTGAGACGAGTTTAAATGGAGGAGAGTTTTAACCACTGGGAATATGGAACCATTGAGATACTTGGGCGTTTCACTGAACCAAACCATTGACACCTCTAAGATTCTTCGTCATCCTAAATTCTTCCAATAGAGAAAAATAATATTCACGCATCTCTAGCTATATTGAAGGAACTAAGAGTAACCTTTATCCACGAAATTAGACCGTAAAATTTTGCACGGCCCTTCTGCTACATATGTCTATAATTTAAAGCTTGTAGCAAATGGAACAAATCAATGCGAATGGTCCTCATTGGTTTTTTCACTTCACCACCCTTGTTAAGCGCTCAAGTCGCTCAAGTCTCACTTTCGGACATATCGGTTAAACTACCTTTCGAAGTAATAAGGAAGGAGAAAACAAGGTACCTTGTCTCCCTCTACCTTCTTCCACCAATCAAGAAATTCTGGTTCGTCGAGGACAGAAAAGAAGAAAGAAGGATGAGGTAGCCCGATTTAGGAAACCGTTTGCGATTTACATGATCAAGATTCTCGGAACTTACTGGGCACAATGCGGTGAGTAGATGTCAAAATGTGCTCAAAGCAATGGAAGCTACGTGAGGATGAGAATAAGGAACGATTCGACAAGAAGGGTACAACTTTCTAAAGCTTGTTCACCATAACTCAGGTTCATGAAAATAAGGAGAGTTTAGCTAAATTCGCTGACAATTACTAATATACAGACCTCAATAAGAGGTCCTCAAGAGCCAGCCAGCCGTCCTAATCAACTCAGTACAATTTTTATCACCGCCGTAAAGCACCTCTTGAATCCTTTCTAGGAACGTTTCTCTCCATCGATCCTGCGGTTTCCGATTCAAAGCAATGGATGATTCCAATTTCATCTCCGCGGCTACTTACAATCGCCTACCACACATAGGTGAATGACCATCCTGTTTATTGGTACTATCATGATCCGGTCCGTTCCCCTCCACGCACAGGCCGTTGTTCGTCGCACTCACTTCAGAGCCGACATTGTTGCCAGTCGCGAGTGGAGAGTCCGACACGCTAACTGTCCCACTTCTTGTAGGCGGGGATCTCCCGCTATACATGGATGAAGCATGAATATTTGTCATCGTCGGTCGCAAATTCCCGGGAATGCCTCGCCTTTTGTCCTGGACTGAGTTGAAGCACAATCACATCGCGAAATAACATTAATCTAATCGGAACATTGGCCCGAGCAGTAATTGAGCGGACAAAAAGTACTCCGTCCAACGACGCAAAGCTAGCGGCTCCTCTCGCACTCAGTCGTTCCATTAACATGTACGCCGGCTGCGTGCACGCGCTTCTCCTCCACATTAATCCCACTTGTTTCTACATTCTCAATAAAATTGGAAGCGCATTCAAAGGCATCGAAGCAATGAGCCCATTTATTCTAATGAACAAGCAGATTGCAGTCTTTCATTGGTTAATGGACATCAAAGATCTCGCCCTCTTTCTTTCCACTTTCCACTGTATTCTTTTCATTAAAAGAGTGTGTCATCCAAAGTCGGCAAAAAGGACCTCCCCGTTATAATCCAAAAGCCGAAGAAAAATATTTCTTCCCCGGACTCCAAATGAAAATAAAGGTGGGCATGTCAAGTCATTCAAATTTCGCATCCTTTAATCTTCCCGCAATGAAAGCGAAGGTCGTAGTAATTCTATCATTCGAATTTCGCATCCTTTAATCTTCCGTAACGATCGAGAACGATGGGTGCAACAGCAGACGAGGTTTACTTTTCCCATTGTAGTTTACAGGGTTCAAGTTTTATTTGGAAGAGACGCGGCTCTTCACAATTGAAATCTTTCGTTCATTTTGCTGGATCTTAAAATAGATCAAAGGGTCGAAAAAATAAGTCAGGATGATCATTAATGTTCCTTGTGGTCCTCTCCTTCTTCTCCAAGATTATACTATTTTTATGGATTAGTTTATGTGTTTGAATTCAACTTTGAATTGCATGATCGTGCTCTCAGAAGGCATATATGTCCTTGAGGCTAGAGGTAGTATTTAATGGAGAAATAACTATATTAAAAATAACTTTCTGGAAGTGTATTGCCTCAATTCGATTATTCTATAATTTCCTGTTTCGATTTTGTTCAACTTAAACTCGTGGCCTTTACTCCACTTGGAGAGGGGCGACCGGCGCAATTGCCGTTTTGGAAGTTACCGTAAAGCTCTTAGACCTTCTATAGAATATTTTCATGCTCGAACTTGTGACCGCATACTACTGGGCTACCGGGCTAATAAGGATAGGTATGACCTCATACTGCTGGGCTACTGGGAAATTTTAGAATCTATAGTAACATGCGTAGCCAATTAGTCATAACCTTGGGTTATACACAAAATTTTCAAAGATAGCAACTCGGAACTTCAGATGTCTGAGCTTACACCGTCTGAAGTTGCTACAGTTCTTTCTGAATTATGCAAAATGCATAGCTGAATGACCTCTCCGCTTTCTAAGATGAAGATTCCCAAAGATTAAAATGGAAAGGAAAACCATGGCCGATGGTCATATGGATATAATGGCCATTTTCCTACGTCTTCTTTTCTAAGGCAGATGAGGAGTAGTATCCGATCAGTCGACTTGTCCATTTTTCGATCCGTGCAGTGGACAGAAATGTCTTAAGATTCCTAGTAATGAGAGAAAATTTGTTCATTTACTCCACGCGATGAACTTGATTATGATGATTTGGTCTTCCTCATAAAATTGATAGGGGCGACGTTGACCGTGACTATTACCTTTACTTTCAAGTTATTCGTGTGGGCGATTTATGTTTTACTTAAAACTAGATTTCTGCCGCTGAAAGTCATTCCCGCTTGGTGAGATGATGGAATAACATAATTTGCTCTCCCAAGTGGCGCATTTAGGTAATGTGGTACTCGAGTTTGCATTCTACATGCAAATATCCAGAAAAACTCAGGTAGTAGTCTTTTTCTATAGATATTGACGTTGTGCAGGATATGCAAGCATAATGTCTACTCGTATTAATGGATTGAACTATTTAACTGGCATAAAAGATGAAAGGATAAATGTACTCACTCAGATAACTTTAAGAGACATGTTGGCTTGCATGTATGCCTTTTACTTTTCAATAGTCCGGATATACAGTACAGCTGTATAGATGACAGCATCATTCCTGATACTTCGTTGTCTTCTTACATGCCAACTTTCGTTTCAAAGGAACATTGAAACACACCTTTGTTCTTCACGGTCTAAACTATTTATAATCTACATCAGAACTCGACTCACCAACCTCACAACACATTAGAGAAGCAATTGTCCCGCGTTTGCATAAGAGATGAAGGCCTCCTGCCACCTCTCCCTATCTCCCGAAGGGAACGAAGACATTAAAATTGACTTTGAGTCAACTAAAGGTTCCCATATGCCATAGTCCATCGGATGACTTCACTATTTTTCCAACCCCACTTTGGCTCCGCATGATGATTTTATTACTTCCATGGCTCCATCTTCACATTACCAGACAATTGAGTATATCTTGATATGAAAAAAAATGCGTGAAGTCAGGTGCTTGTCTATGCATAAGCGGTTCAGTTTGGCATAATTCGTAGGAGGTACTAGAAAACTTACTGCTTTAGTATATTACTTATCCTTATAAACCAGCCGCGTAAAGTCTGTCCCTAATTGAACGTAGTTGAGCTGCCACATCTGTGATGCTCATTCGCTCTCTTGGGACTCCAACTGAGCAGGCGACCCCAATTTCGTAGACCATTAGCAGACAATTTTGGACCGTACTCTTTCTGCTTTGGCCTGCATAGCTCTCTACTTCTTGAACTAAAATGGGATCGGTAATCTCCAGGACTCGTTTAGGCATAGCTTCCTCAACAAAATTATGAAGGTTCGAATTTTCTTTGAATATCTCATCTGTTGGACCAATTCCTGTGAACATCTCTAGCAAGAGGATGCCATAACTATAGACATCCCCTTCAACAGAGACCCCACTTCCCATTCCATATTCTGCACTTATCAAGAACCACAAATGGTTGAGCTATGAGAAAATAGCACGCGCACAATCTCATTATGAATTAAGTCCAAAGTTTTGTGAAAAGATGCATCAACAATTTTTTGATAAACAAATTCTTCATTTGAGGGAGCTAGGGACACAAGGGGGCATACCTGGAGCAGCATAACCAATTGTTCCTCTCAAACCAGCTGAGCTTATATTTGTGTTCGTGTAAGATGTGGATTCAAGGACGAACTTTGCCAATCCAAAGTCACCGACATGTCCAACCATCTCAACGTCTAAAAGGATATTGCTTGGCTTTAGATCACAATGAACTATGGCATTGTGGCATTGGTTATGAAGATAATCCAATGCAAAAGCGATGTCGATGGAAATCTTTATCCTTTGGATGAGATTCAAAATTTTTGAGGGCCCATCTACATCAGCTGGTATTGGATATGGGTGCAACCACTCTACGAGGCTACCATTGATCATGAACTCATAGACTAAAGCCTTAAAGTCATTTCCTTTATAGTCAGTACCTGAGCATACCGTTAGTATCTTCAAAAGATTTCGATGTTTGATACACTTTAGGGCCTCACATTCGGCTTTGAAGCTCTTCAGAGCTCCATGACGCATTAAATTAAGCACCTTCACAGCAACGCTAGTCCCATTCTCCTGGAGTATTCCCCTGTAAACGGATCCAAAACTACCAACACCGATCAAATTAGTTGAAGAAAAACCATTAGTTGCTTTAAGGAGAGTTCCATAAGATAAGTTTTGCCAGCTATCAGCTATGGAACTTGAAGTGGGTTCTTGTGCTTTCTTCTTCTTCAACCAACATACATACACAAAAACCAGAACAAGAACCACCCCTAGAAGCCCAAAAATAGTAGAGAGCAAGAGTTTCAATTTACGAACTACTCCTTTGCTCTTGGAGTGTCTAGAGACACATTTAGGGAGCCGAAATTCCGGGATTCCTCCACAGATCTTGTTGTTTCCTTCAATAAAAGTGGCACTTGCATTCTTGAAGACTCCTTCAGTTGGTAACATGCCTTCAAAATTGTTATGGGATAAATTCAGAATTTTCAGGAAGTGAAATACCTCTAAGAACTTCGGAATCTCACCTGATAGATTGTTATTGGAAAGATCCAATTTCTCAATGCTTCTTAATGAGCTAATTGATTGAGGAATGGATCCTTGGAAGTGGTTATCCTTCATTACTAATACAACCAATGCATTACAATCACCTAGAGTGCTTGGAATTTCACCACCGAACATATTGCCCGATACGTCCAAAGTATCTAAATGGTTAATTTGTCCCACTTCCGTTGGAAGGGCCCCATTCAAATGGTTGTGAGACAAGTTCAAATAGAGGAGAGTTTTAACCGCTGGGAACATGGAACCATTGAGATTGTTTTTAGAAAGATCAAGCACCATCAGACTACACTTATCTAGATGTGAAGGTATGTGCCCGTGAAAGTGATTCCCATCAAGATGTAAATAAATCAATCGCTTCATCTTCTGCAGAGAGGATGGAATTACCCCTGATAGATTGTTATAGGAGAGACTCAGAACTGACAGATTTTGAAGATTTCCCACATCGATCGGGATAGCACCTGAAAAACTGTTGTTGTACATCCCCAAGACTTCCAAGTTCACAAGATTGATGATTTCTCTAGGAATCTCACCAATAATAGGATTTTGTCCGAAATTTAATTCTTTGATAGTAATGGAGAAATTACCAATGCATCTCGGCAACAGCCCACCTAGTCTATTACCAGAAATATCCAAGCCGGTTAAGCTACTGATATTGGTTAATGAGCAAAGGAATTTCAAGTCACCAGATCCCCCACTTCCGAGGTGGTTATGGTCAATTCGCAAAATTTGAAGGTCATGCAAGCTTTCAAAAGAAGGTACATTCCCTGAGAGCTTGTTGCCTCCAAGCTGAAGTAACTGTAGATTTGAGGCATTATTAGGTATAGACAAAGGGATTGATCCAACAAATTGGTTCACCTCAATGCCGAAAAATGCTAAGTTGGGGAGACCAAAGCCCACTGTAGTGGGAAGACTTCCATGTATTTGGTTATATCCTATGTCAAATATTATCAATGAAGATAAATTGTAGAGGGAAGGTGGAACCGTACCGGACAACCAGTTTTCGAGCAAACCAATTGCTGTTAGTTTGGTCAGTTGGCCCAGAGCCCGAGGAAGACTCCCGCCCAAGTAATTGTAAGAAACATCGAGCTCCTTCAACGATGATAAGTTCCCAATGGAAGAAGGGATACTTCCTGTTAGATTGTTTTGTTCTAAATAAAGAATCTGAAGCTTCACCAATGAACCCATCTCTGGAGGAACTTCTCCACTCAGTTGGTTATCAGACAAGTCCACGCCAAGGAGCTTAAGGCAGCCTGAGATGTTCTTGGGGATTTCACCCATGAGAGAATTGTTGTACAGCCCCATCTTGCGTAACCGGTGCAATTGCCCGATTTGGGGAGGGATTTCACGGTGAAAGCTATTATTTTGGAGCCACAATCCCGTTAGGAAGCTAAGGTTCCCGATATGAGGGGAGATAGACCCGGATATCTTCTGAGCACTCAGGTCCAATATGGTGACTCTGTTGTGGTGCCGGCGACTACATGTAACACCGTACCATTGGCAAAGATTGACCATATTGTTCCAGGAGCTAAGCACCTTGAGAGGGTCCTTAGTTATCCCAGCCTTGAATGCAAGCAATGCGGATATGTCGGTTTCATTTGATGCCGAGGAGACTCGAACAAAGCATAATGCAATCGCAATCGCAAAAACGAAGCGATGAAAAGGGAGCTTTGCAAAACTAAAGCCCACGAGTTCCATGACTCAAAGCAGAAGTGGACTGAACTGATGAGCAGGGAGGATGAGAACAGACGAGAGATGAAATTTGTAATTCAGGTGTGGTTGAGCCACCGCATTGACAAGAGATTTATAGAGGGTGAGGATTTTGGAGAGAGACTCTTGTTTTGGTCTCAAAAGTCATTTATCTGCATCCACTTGACATGAGTGGACAAGTTGGGTGCTAAAAGTACTCAGACTGACTGATTACCTCTATGGTTGGTTATTCTGCAAGATAGGCAGCGCATTGAAGAAACTGAAAAACAAGAAAGATGTAGCATTCCTCTTAGGCTTCTCTCCACGGCAGAATTAAAATAAAAAGCTAATGAAACAGACATCGACTGAAATTGATGTTCCACACCAAGAAAAGTGAAAATTATTACGGAAGGAGCGTGCTATAGTTTGCATAAAGTAGAAAGATTAGTGGCAGATTGACTTGAGTCCACCACTACTACCCCGTGTTTTGGTTTGAAAACAACTAAAGAATTGTTTCCAAAATTTTCAGAAAGTCAAGCTAAAAATGAGAAAACACTTTCTAGTGGATTCAATGAAAACAAGTTCTGAGAATTCTTACCTAACAAATCGATTTTGAAAATTGAAAACGGAAAATCGATAACTTTTCTTAAATTAAACAAAGTCCTATCACTACTCTAAAGTACACAACAATTATCTTCTTCGTCGACTTAATATTCAAACATATCTTCAATACCACATAACACACGACATAACATTCTTCTTATCTTTTAATCATATCACCACATTCAAGTCCACCACTGAACCCTCGCTTGAACCAATTTTCTTTTGAATGATTAGAGAGATGAAAAACACCACCACATTCTTTTCTGCGTGGATTCCTTATACTGCAATTGCGGTTTCAACATACAATCGGGAAAAATGGAGTGCTCTCTTTCTGTTTGGTTGATTATTTTATTCGCTTTGCTAGACTTCTGTTGGGTCATCATAAAAGTAAAGGGCCATCAAGAAAAAGGACGAAAAAAATGTAGAAAAAAGACAATCCGGCTAGAAATATTTCTAAGGGAAGAAAGGCTATACTTTCCTTCATAGGGACATCGGCCACCTGGTGTCATGATGGTCGAAAGATCGTGGTTCGGGAAATTAAACATTCTTAGTCTTCGTATTGCATGACGATTCATCCTTTTTACCCCCGACCATACGTAGGAATATAGGCAAGACCATTAATGGAACACTGACTAGTTCTCTTGCCGTCCCCTGCACGATCACTTGTCTTAGAAATTATGAGAGCACGGTGTCAAATTTAATTAGGGTGTATTTGTTTTAGGGAAAAATTCGTGATAAAGAAAAAAATCATTTTTCAGGAAACTATTTTCCCATTTTTAGGTTAGGGAATTCATTTTCCTAACTTTAAGCGTGCATGTTTTCTTTGACCGTAAATGGTTTTTTGTTGATCGACAATTTTCAGCAACCCAAACATGTGAAAGTCCGGAAAACTAATTGGCGAAAAATTCTTTCACTTAAACAAACACACCCTTCGTCTAACATTGAAAGAACTCTGGAACTCAGCTTCATTTGTTAGCGTTAAGGAAGTTGCATGTTTTAGGGATGGGGCCATATAGTCGATATCAAATTTCTCAAACACTCGGAAACGAAAGGGAAGCACATATGGAAAAATTAGAAGGCAACTGATCAAGGTCTATGTGAAAGCTTGACCTTTTTCTTCCACTGGACAAGGTTATTGCTACCTTGGCCCTTGGCCAATTCGATGATCTCACTCTTCCTTGCAAGAAAATGGGGAAAATTACCAAAAAAGTCCTAAACCTTTTGCAGTTGTGCCAATTCAGTCCTAAACCTTTTTTTTTTTGGCCAATTCAGTCCTAAACCTTTTGCAATTCAGCCAATTCAGTCCTTTTGGCCGGCCGGAGCTGACATGGACGCCGGCCGGTGGCCAAAAAAAAAGGTTTAGGACTGAATTGGCACAACTGCAAAAGGTTTAGGACTTTTTTGGTAATTTTCCCCAAGAAAATGACATGGCCTCTTTTAACTAAAATGCTGATAATCGACCTTGGGGACAAGATTGTATCAGCAATTAATAGTTGCATACACATATCGGAATATCATGCATTGAATTTTCCATATTAGGAAGTTCACAAAGGAAATCAACTGCTGTCGGTGCACCTTAGTCATCATAAATTCTTCCGATGGAGAAAAATAACATTCGCATGATCGTAAAATTTCGCATTGCCCTTCTCTACACATGTCTATAAATTTAAGGCCTTGACCAAATAGAACAAATCAATGCGAATGTTAATATTGGTTTTTTACAGCACCTCCCGCTTTGATAACATGTAAAAATTTTATGGGACTATTATCAATTGTTTTGAAAGTTTAAATTGTTGGACGAAATACGTGGGTTAATGTATAAATAGTCTAACAAATACTAGTTATAAAAAGGAAACGAAGAAAAACAAAGTACTTGATCCTGCAGTTTCAATTCAAAACAATGGATGACTACAACTTCATCACTGTATCTACTTACAATCACCAGCCACAAATAGGCGAATGACCATCCCCCTCACTGGTGATATCATCATCCAGTCCATTTCCTTCCATGCATAGGAGACTGTTGTTGATCCCATCTCACTTCAGAGCTGGCGCTGCTGCTTGTCGCAAGTGGAAAGTCTGATTCGCTAAGTGTCCTACTTCTTGTAGGCTCGGATCTCACGCTGTACAAGGGTGAAGCAGGGATATACGTCATCGATGGTCGCAAATTCCCAGGAATGCTTCGCCTTATGTCCAGGATTTAGTTGAAGTAAAATCACATCATAAGATAATATCAATCTAGACAAAACATTGCTCTAAGTAGGCAAACAACATTAGACATAGAGAGAGAGAGAGAGAGAGAATCTTCAATCCTGATACAGTAGCCATGTCAAGCAGTATAAATAATAAACTAATACAGCGTTATGCGAAAGAAGAAAAAGGACCATACGATATGCCCTAGAGCCATATCCAAGGATCTATTGGATAGTGTTTGCCCAAAGCCTGAGCTGTCGGGAAGAAGCCGACTTTCCGAACATGTTACTGTGAGGACAATGTTTATTTTCTTGCTTGGGTTGCACTAATTTCCTCATGTTTATTACCCTTTCCAACATTTTAGTGCCAATCAAAACAGGCCTCATATTGTCGTTCATTTTAGGATGCCCACGACTCAATGCAGGAACAGAGCTTCCACTTGTATAAAAGACACCATTGGCAGGGCGTTTTCTCGACCGTTGCGAAAGAAAACATTAGGAGGTCCGGGACCTCCACGTCAGCATGATCCTGGACTACTCATGAAGCACCACGTGCAGCCACATGGCGCCGTGGGGCCAACTCGCCAAGATGGAATTTTTGCACAAAATATAATCTTCTCTCTCTCATTAGGCCTGCACCCTCCCTTTGGATGGTGCTCCTTCATGAACATAGCAGAACAACCAAAAACAGGGCTCCTCCTCCCTTCCCTTTTTTCCCTTCGTAAATACAAACTATTTAATAAAAATTCCCGTACCTTGTTCCTTTGTTATCCTTTGCCGAGTCGTCTTGCCCCACACCATACACACTTGCACATTAACACCAAAACTTACCCGATAGTATTGATTTCACTGGAACGGAAATTCAACGTGATGACACTGTATTTCTTGACGTTATTGAAGCAGATTTTGCAATAGTAGAGGACGCTGCTTTGGTGGGAGGGCCAGATGCAGTGGGACCAGTTGACGTTGTAAATGGTCGGCGAGTTGGTGTTGCTGCCCTTGATGCCAGTTTTGGTGGGTTAACAATGGGACAGGCAGTTGGCGTTGAAGATCTCGCTCTTGACCTTGATGGAGTCGGCGATATGGCAGGAACTCGTTGCTTTGCAGTTGAAACTGCAGGCTTGGTCGAAGTACCTGCAGCAGGCTTAGTAGCGACAACAGAGGGCTTGACTGGCACTGCTGATTTAGTTGAAGACAAGGTCGGGCGAGAGGTTGGTGTCGAAGGTCTCGAGGCTCTAGAGGATGTTGTTAGTGTAGGCCTAATAGGCGTTGCCGGTCTTGATCCTGGACCCCCTGATGGTGAGGGCACGCGAATTCCTGCCCCAGAAGTGTTAGACCCAGGAGAGGAAGCTGGTTGTCTAGATATTAAATTGGTGCTTGCAGGTGGAATTTGCCAACTAAAGAGATGAACAGTTGACCAAATATGCAAATCCAAGCACAATTCTTTACCCACAATTCATCTAGTTAAGTGACAATTAGCGGACAATCTAAGAAACATATCTTATGGTAAGTGAAGGCTAAATTATAAGAGAATGGATGTACCAACACTCGTAATGTGTGATATTCAGTATGGAGGGAGCAAGGTTCAAATCTGCAATTGATAAAAGTATACAAGATACGAATGAGAAGTTTACATAATTAATTGTCCCAGATCTGATTTTTTTTTTACCCAAATTCCAGATTCTAAGATGAAGTTACTTCATTTTGCACCTGTCACATATCGTTTAAAACTAAACATTTTCTCTAGTCTGTGATAACTGAAAAGGTCACAATAGAGCTCCAAAATCTTCGACACTGCCATAACAGATCTCTACTAACTTAAGAAAAGACACTCAGTTAACGATTCTATATAAATAAATACATATAATAAAATTTCTTCTCCCTATTTTTTTTTGTTTATAGTTATACAAGTATTTTCTGGAGAGGAAGGAAAAGAAGAGTTAAAAAGGCTCCCTTTTTGTTTTTCACTCTTCTGTGTCTCCATTGTTCTGGCCCTCTGATCACACCCAAGTCAGTCAAGATTACTTGTGTCTACTAGATCTCATGGCTCTTCACTGAATCCCAACTATTTGTCGATTTTGAATTTTTTTGAAAGGATTAGTTGCATTTTAGGCCATAAAAGATGTACTATGTATACCGAGAAAGTGTACAAAGATTGATTTATTAGATGATAATATCATCATATTGGATGACAAACAAATCCACTCTCTCATTTTCCAAGCCCAGTCATCGAAACATCCATTCACATCGCACGACATATTATAATTGTAAGTGTCTCAATCTTGATATACTATTTAGTATGCCTAATAATGTTGCTTGTAAAGAAAAAGGAGGGGGGAAACGAGAGGTTCTTCAAAGTATTCTTCACAAATGTACTCTTTCATTCATTCTGCTGAATCTATAGACAGATCCAAGGATCGGAAAAAAGTCAGGATGATTGTTATTGCTCCTTGTGCCCCTCTTCCTCTTCTTCTTCTCCTCCAAGATTATACCATTTTTATGCATGATTTCATGGATTCGAATTCATGGTTGAAGAATGCTTCGAAGTGCATGATCGTATTCTTATGAGGCATGCATGTATCCTAGAGGTAGTATTCAGCGGAGAAATAACTAGGTTAATGATAACTTTCTGGAAGTGTCTTGCCTCAATTTGATTATTCTATAATTTCATGTTTCGATTTTGTTCAACTTAAAATTCATGGCTTTTCACTCCAAACGGAAACGGTAAGGACACCACCGTCTTTTAATGGGTGATATGCCGTTGATGTATCTATTTAAAGTAGAAAGTGAAGGCGAGTACACCAAGACGTGGTGCCGGTACTGGTTCGTCCCTCAAGCAAGGCAAGCTCTTCTTCCGGTTCAAGGACTCCGCCGTCGTCACCTGCGCCTTCCGTCCGAGGGCATCATCCTGGTGGCCTCCTGCCTCACTGTGAACGGGGCCGAGGACATCCTCAACAAGCAGTACGCCTTCGAACTCTCCTGTTTCAGTCAGATGCTCGTGCCTGGAAACTGTTACTTCTATCGCCTGATCGTCGGTCGATTGTGACCACAACAGGCAGTGAGCTTTGTGCAAGCGAGATCAATTTCGGTATACTTGCGTTAATCTGGTGCTTGTACATTGGGAATGGTTGTTTTTAGTGATTTGTGAGGTGGTGTTCGTGTTACTCTCATTTCTCTTATGGCCTAATGTCTTTTGATTTGGTCGAGGGTTCATGTCCATTTGTTCGTCGGTATCAAGTGCTGTCCGTGGTCTGCCTAATATGTGTAATGACACTACGTAGCTGGATTTGTGCTAAACAGATCTACAAGAGTAGTTCAGGCAGTTTGGTCTCCTATTCTGATGGAGAATGAAAGCTGATGACTTGCATATTAAAAAGACCTTTATTTGATAGTCATATGTATCAAGAGTACATATGCTAATTCATTTTGAGCAGCCTATTCATCTTCATATCTCATACTGTTTGCTAAGTTGTACTGGAAACCAAATCATGGCAGTTGGAAATAAACAAGCATGAATTCATTCTCATTCGAGAAACAAAACATAGAGGAGTTTAATTACGGCTGAAAGAGGAGCAGTCTTTCCTTCCATATGAATTACATCTATAATTTGCTGATAAGCCTTGGATCTGTTGGACCTCCACTCTCAAAAGCTTTTGCTTTGCCCGTAGCAGCTCCGCCGCATACTTCCACCAATCCACTCCTCTGGCGTCCAGCAGAGTGGAATGACCCTATGGAAAATGCAGAAACCATTTATTCTTAAAACCTGGAAAAAAAATGTAAAATTTAACTACAAATTCAGGGAATCTGGTCAGAAGCCAATTCTTTTAGTCAACCACGCGGCCCTATAAGCATGACTGTTCTAGTGCAAGTGCAGAGGTACACGTAAAATGTAACATATGTGGGTTCCTAGTCAGCTGTTTCAATGCCTTGTGATGGTGAGAATTTCTTCATGTGGTCTCCAGTGCATTTGGTTCTGACTGGTGAAGCCTTTACCTCTATCTTCGCACTACCAGAAAATTGAATTTAGTCCTCCACGTATACCTGAGAATATGTATTGATCTTTCCTAGTATAGACTGGAAAGGAATGTTACTCAGTCCCTGTGCTCGAGTGTGCAGGCACACCTCTGTATGCGTGACTAGGCTTTAAGTGGTTCGTTTCAGTCTGCCAAGGTGATAATTTTTAGAAATGTTATTGCTTTTGTATATTACCTATCCATGTAAACCAGCTGCATGAAGTTTGTCCCTAATCAAGCATAGTTGAGTTTCAGCTTCTTTGATGCTCATTCTCTCTCTGGGTACTCCAACCGAGCAGCCAATTCCAATTCCATACAACATTACCAGACACTCTTGAACTGTGTTGTCTCTGCTATGGCCTGCATAGTTCTCTCTTCCCTGAAGTAGAATGGGATCGGTAATTTATAGAACTCGTGCGGGCAAAGCTTCCTCAACAAAATTGCGAAGGTTCAAATTTTCTTTGAAGATCTCATCCGTGGGACTGATTCCGGTGAACATCTCTAGCAAGAGCACGCCATAACTATAGACATCGCCTTCTCTAGAAACCACACTTCCCATCCCATATTCTGCACTTCGTCCAAATTTCAAATTAGTCGTAACAGAAAATATTGTCCACTGTATCATTATGAAGTGTAAGATTCTTTGAGAGGGGGGAAGGACAAGGGGGTTTTACCTGGAGCAGCATAACCAACCGTTCCTCTTAGATCAGCTGAGCTTATCTTTGAGTTGGTGTCAGGTGTATTTTCAAGGACGATTTTCGCCAATCCAAAGTCACCGACATGTCCATCCAATGCAGAAGCAATGTCGATGGCAATCTTTATCCTACGGAGGAGGCTCAAAGTTTTTGAAGGCCCATCTGCTTCAGTCAGTTCTTGCTGGCAGTGCAACCACTCTTCAAGGCTGCCATTAACCATGAACTTGTAGACTAAAGCCTTAAACTCATTACCGTAATAATCAATGCTTGAGCATACTGATAATATTTTCAACAGATTTCGGTGTCTAATGTGCTTTAGAGCCTCGCATTCAGCCATGAAACTCTTCAATGCATCATGGCGCGTTAAATTCAGCACTTTCACAGCGGCAACCGTTCCATTCTCGAGTATACCCTTGTAAACAGACCCAAAACTACCGATACCAATCAAATTAGTTGAAGAAAATCCATTAGTTGCTTTAAGGAGAATTCCATAAGATAGATTCTGCCATGTACCGCCTACGGGGCTCGAAATAGGCTCTTTTTTTTTCTCCTTCAACCAACATGAGTACAAAAAAGCAAGAAGAAGAGCTATTCCCAGAAGCCCAAAAGGGATAGAGATGGAAAGTATCAGTATATGGACTAGCCGCTTGCTCTTGGAGTCTCTAGAGATGCACTTAGGGAAATGAAATTCAGGAATTCCTCCACAGGGCATCTCGTTTCCCATGACAAATGCGGCACTTGCATTCTTAAAAACTCCTTCAGTTGGTAGAGAGCCTTCAAAATTGTTAAAAGATAAATTTGCATATTCCAAATCAAATGCCTCGAAGAACCTTGGAATCCCACCAGATAAATTATTGCATGAAAGATCAAGTACTTCGATGCCTCTTAATGAACTAATGGATTGAGGAATGGACCCTTGGAAGAGGTTTTCCTGCAATCTTAATAGTACGAGTACATCGCAATTTCCCAGACTGCTTGGTATCTCACCATCTAACATGTTTCCTGATATGTCCATATAATTTAAGTTCTTCATTTCTCCTATTTCCTTGGGAACGGCCCCGGTCAGAAGGTTGTGGGATAAGTTCAAAGAGAAGAGACTTGTGACCACCGGGATTACGGAACCGCTGAGATTGTTACTAGAAAGATCAAGCGACATCAATCTTTGACACTTATATAGATGCGGAGGAATGCGCCCTTGAAAGTTATTCCCAGCAAGATACAGATAAATCAATTTGCTTAGATTGTGCAAAAAGGATGGAATTACCCCCGACAACTTGTCCGAGAGAATCAAATACGCAAGATTCTGAAGATTTTTCAAGTCAAATGGGATTGTACCTGAAAGACTGTTGCCATCCACATACAACTTTTCTAAGTTCACAAGATTCCCAATTTCTCTGGGGATCTCACCGGTTATAGCATTCTTGCTCACTCCCAATGCTGCGAGAGTAATGGAGAAATTGCCAGTGCACTGAGGCAGTGATCCACCCAGTCTGTTTTCCATGACATTCAACTCTTTTAAGCTAGAGGCATTTGTTAAGGAGCAAAGGAAGCTCAAGTCATGGGAACCCCCACTTCCGAGATGATTGGAGCGAATGGAAAACCATTCAAGATTATGTAGATTTTCAAGAGAAGGTATGTTCCCGGAAAGATTGTTGTCCTCTAGGGGAAGTATGCGTAGGTTTGTTGCATTGGAGATCGAGAATGGGATTGATCCATCAAATTGGTTCGAGGCGACATTAAAATATTCGAGAGATGAGAGAGTGAGGCCTATGGTTGCAGGAAAACTTCCATGTATTTGGTTACAGGATACGTCAAATTGAGTCAATGAAGACAAGTTGAAGAGGGAAGCAGGAAGTGTACCGGAAAGCATGTTGAATCCCAAAGTAAGTGTGTCTGGTTTGGCTAGTTGGCCAAGAGCCCCAGGAATGCTCCCACTTAAGTAGTTATAAGTGAGATAAAGATCCTCGAGTGATGATAAGTTGCCAATGCCTGGAGGTATGCTTCCTGACAAATTGTTCACCATTAAAACGAGACGCTGAAGCTTCAACAGCCTACCACGCTCTCTAGGAACTTGTCCAGTCAGTCGGTTACTCTGCAACCCAATGCCAATAAGGTTTGTGCAACCTGTTATGTTCTTGGGTATATCCCCTGCCAGAGAGTTATTGGACAATTCTAAGAAACGTAAGCGGTGCAGTCGTCCAATTTGCGGAGGGATTTCATGGTCAAAACTATTGTTTTGAAGCCGTAACTCCCTCAAGAAGCTGAGGTTCCCAATGTGAGGGGAGATTGATCCCGAGAGCTTCTGTGAATTTAGGTCCAATACCGTGAGTCGGTTGCGGTGCCGGTGACCACATGTAACACCAGACCACCGGCAGAAGTCGATGCTGTCGTTCCATGAGCTGAACACCCCAAAAGGATCTTCAGTTATTCCTGACTTGAACACCAGCAACGCAAGCCTATCATTTTCGTTGTTGGAAGCAAAGGAGACTCGGTTGAAGGAACACAACAAGAGAACAATGGTAAAGATGCAATGCCATGTCGGAAACTTAGGAGACCGGAAGTCGATATGATCCATATGCTTAGACCGGAAGTCGATATGTTCCATATGACACAGACCCACGATCAGCGACCAGGGCACAGTAACATTGAGCTTCTCAAACATTCAATTGCCGACCATGGCCATTTCACTTCTGCAAATTACACGAATCTTCTTACATTCCTCTTCTGGTTTCCTTTCTCTACTGTTGCAAACCATATATTCGGTCAAAGTATGGTCGAGGGCTTTCGATTTTTCAGTCTTGAAAATTAAAATAATTGTCATTTAATATACTTGACAAGTGTTCCGAGAAACTCGTTAACAATAGTTTTGTTTATTAGCAATAGGGTGACGACCGCTGTGTATATATGTTTATTATATAATTAGTAATAATATCCATTCTCCCTTTTTTTTTTGGTACATGCGTTTTCCGGAGGAGGAACAAGATAAAAAGTGTTGGTCAAAGTTGGCCATTGACCGGTCAACAGTGACGAACATGGAAGCAATAAAATCTGAAATGAATGAGACGGTGGTTCGATCAAAATGACGTTCCACAGCGAAACCAAATGCTTTGAAATTTTCAGTTTTTGGTGGTTATAGGGTGCATTTGGTTCAGCTTTTGGGGAAAGCCTTTGGGATTATGCAAAGACTTTTAGCATAAAAGGATTTGATGAAATGCAAAGACTGTTTAGTAAACTGTAATTGAAAAATATCTTGAAAAGCAACTTTGGAGAAATGATGTTTGGTAGATATATGCTTGAAAAGTCCTTTGGTGTGACTAATTTAAGTGTTGGGTTAATAATACGAAAAACTCCAAACTGGTATACTTGTGATAAAATTACCTCAAACTAATTTTTGCACTCTAAAAACCCAAAATTGATACACCCGTGATATATTTACCCTCCTTTAGCTTCCATCAAATTTTACCGTTAAATTTGTTAACGTGGATGACATGAAGTGGTATGGTGACGTGCAAAATCCATAGGGCTAATACCACTAAAAATCTCAAATTGGTACATTTATGACAAATTTACCCAAAACTAGTTTTTTCGGTCACTAAAAATCCCAAACTAGCGTGACACATTTATTCTGTGACACATTTGCACAGATATTTGTCAAGGTGGTGCAAATCATACAGTGGATCTTTCAAGCCTAACACTAGTATTAAATTAAACACGCCAAAGGAGTCATAAACCACCAATGATAATGCAAATTTGCCGACGATATGACATAAACATGCACGACTGTTTTAGTGCAAGTGTAGAGGTACATGTAAAATGTAACATATGGGGTTCCTAGTCAGCTGTTTCAATGACATGTGATGGTAAGAATATCGTCACGTGGTCTTCAGTGCATTTGGTTCTGAATGGCGAAGCCTTTACCTCTATGTCCACATTACCAGAAAATTGAAATTCTTCCTCCAGATATATCTGAGAATACGTATTGCCCTTTCCTGGTCTAGATTGAAAATGAATTTTATTCAGTCCCCGTACTTGAGTGTGCAGGCACACTTCTGTATGTTCGACTATGCTTTATGCGGTTCGTTTCAGGGAGGTCATTGCTTTTGCATATTACCTATCCTTGTAAACCAGCTGCATGAAGCCTGTCCCTAATCGAACATAGCTGAGTTTTAGCTTCTGTGATACTCATGCTCTCTCTGGGTACTCCAACTGAGCAGGCAATTCCAATTCCATAGACCAATACCAGACACTCTTGAACTGTGTTGTCTCTGCTATGGCCTGCATAGCTCTCTCTTCCCTGAAGTAGAATGGGATCAGTAATTTCTAGAACTTGTGCAGGCAAAAATTCCTCAACGAAAGTGCAAGGTTCATATGTTCTTTGAAGATCTCATCCGTGGGATTGATTCCGGTGAACGTCTCTAACAATAGAATGCCATAATTGTAGACATCACTTTTGCTAGAAGCCACACTTCCCGTCCCATATTCTGCGCTTTGTCCAAATTTCGAAGTAGTCATAACAGAAATATAGTGTCCCACTCCATATTATGAATTGTAAGATTCTTTTGAGAGCATTCATTGGATTTTTGGTGATGAATAGTCTTCCTTTTGGCAGGGGAAGGACAAGGGGGTTTTACCTAGAGCTACATAACCAACTATTCCTCTTAGACCAGCTAAGCTTATGAGTTGGTGTCAAGTGTGTTTTGAAGGACGAGTGAATAGCCACTGACATGCCCATCCATCTCATCATGTAAGAGAACATTGCTTCGCTTTAGATCACCATGAATTATATGATTGGGACACTGGTTGTGAAGATAATCCAATACAGGAGCAAAGTCAATCGCTTTTTTTATCCTACAGAGCTTCAATCGGTTTATGAGGGTGGTGCAACCACTCTTCAAGGCTGCCATTCACCATGAACTCGTAGACTAAAGCCTTAAACTAATTACCGTTATAGTCAACACTTGAGCATATCAATGCCCGTTTCTGTGTCTAATATGCTTTAGTCTCGCATTCATCCATGAAACTCTTCAGTGCATCACAGCGTGTTAATTCAGCACTTTCACATCGACGACCATTCCATTCTGGAGTATACCCTTGTAAATGGATCCAAAACTTCTGATACCAATCAAATTAGTTGAAAAGAATCCATGTGGTGGTTTCAGGAGAATTCCATAATATAGATTCTGCCATGTACTGTCTATGGGGCTAGAAATAGGCTCTTTCCTTTTCTTCTTCAACCAACATGAGTACAAAAAAGCAAGAAGAAGAGCTATTTCCAGAAGCCCAAAAGCGATAGAGATGGAATATATCAGTTTATGTGGACTAGCCCCATGCTCTTGGAGTTTCTTGAGATGCACTTAGGTAGATGAAATTCAGGAATTCCTCCACGGAGCCTCTCGTTTCTAATGACAAATGCGGCATTTGTGTTCTTGAAGACTCCCTCAGTTGGTAGAGCGCCTTTAATATTGTTAAAAGAAAAATCTAGAAGTTCCAAATCAAATGCTTCCAAGAACCTTGGAATCTCACCAGATAAATTATTGCGCGAAAGATCAAGTACTTTGATACCTCTTAACCGACTAATGGATCGAGGAAGTGGTCCTGCAAGCTTAATTTTACCAGTACATACAATTTCCCAGACTGCTTGGTATCTCACCATTTCACATATATGTGTATATAACTCAAGTTCTTCGTCTCTACTATGTCTGTGGGAAGGACCCCAGTCAGATGGTTGGGGTATAAGTTCAAATAGAAGAGACTTGTGACCACCGGGAATATGGAAAACTGAGATTGTTACTAGAGAGATCGAGCGGCATCGATCTTTGGCACTTATCTAGATACAGAGGAATGCACCCTTGAAAGTTTTTTCCATCAAGAGACAGAGAAATCAATTTAATTAGAATTTGCATAAAGGATGGAATAACCCTGGAAAGATTGTGGTTTGAGAGATTCAAATACGTAACGTTTTGCAGATTTTTCAAGTCAAATGGGATTGTACCTGAAAGATTGTCAACATCCACATACAACTTTTCTAAGTTCACAAGATCCCAAGTGCCCCCGGAATCTCACCGATTAAAGCATTCTAGCTCACTCACCAACGCTGCGAGAGTAATGGAGAAGTTGCCAATGCACTGAGACAGTGACTCACCCAGTCTATTTTCCATGACATTCAACTCTTTTAAGCTAGAGTCATTTGTTAAGGAGCAAAGGAAGCTCAAGTCACGGGAACCCCCATTTCTGATATGATTGGAGCGAATCGAAAACCATTGAAGGTTATGTAGGACTCCAGCTTGCATTGTACACACTAATATCCCCGAAAACTCATGTAGTCGTCCTTGTAGATAGACATGGACATGGTGTGGGATGCGCAAGCATAATGCTTACTCGTATTAATAGGTCGAACCATTTAACTAGCACAAAAGAAGAAAAGGATAAATGAACTTGCTCGCATAGCTTTATTAGACATAAACAGGCTTGCAAATATAAAAAAGCGCTGATAGAAAACAGCAACATTCCTAATACTTTGTTCTCTTCTCACACCCCAACTTTCATTTCGAAAGGAACATTGAAACACCTTTGTTCTTCACGGTCTAAACTATTTATAGTCTATATCAGAGCTCAATTCACCAACCTTACGACCAACCTCACGGTACATTAGAAAAGCATCTGTCCCACTTTGGTTCTGCATGAAGATTCTGTTACCTCCATGGCTTCATCTTCCCATTACCAGAAAGTTGAGTTTATCTAGATTGAAAAAAAAAAATGCGAGTAGTCACTTGCTTGTCTATGCATAAGTGGTTCAGTTAGGCATTTATAGGAGGTACTAAAAACCTTACTGCTTTGGAATATCACCTATTCTCGTAAGCCAGCTGCGTAAAGTCTGTCCCTAATCGAACGTAGTTGAGCTGCTACATCTGTGATGCTCATTCGCTCTCGTGGGACTCCAACTGAGCAGGCGATCCCAATTCCATAAACCATTAGCAGACAATCATGGACTGTGCTCTTTATGCTTTGGCATGCATTGCTTTCTACTTCTTGAACTAGAATGGGATCGGTAATCTCTAGGACTCTTTCAGGCAAAGCTTCCTCAACGAAATTATGAAGGTTCAAGTTTTCTTTAAATATCTCAACTGTGGGACTGAATCCTGTGAACATCTCTAGCAAGAGGATACCATAACTATATACATCGCCTTCAATAGAAACCACGCTTCCCATTCCATATTCTGCACTTATCAAGTACCACAAATGGTTGAGCTATATAAAAAGTAGGTGCACAATCATCTTATTATGAAGTTCTAAGTGTGTGAAAAGATAGCATCAATAATTTTGTGATGAACAAATTCATTTGAGGGGGCTAGGGACACAAGGGAGCATACCTGGAGCAGCATAACCAATTGTTCCTCTCAAACCAGCTGAACTTATATTTGTGTTTGTGTAAGATGTGGATTCAAGGATGATCTTTGCCAATCCAAAGTCACCGACATGTCCAACCATCTCAGCGTCTAAAAGGATATTGCTTGGCTTTAGATCACAATGAACTATGGTGCTGTGGCATTGGTTATGAAGATAATCCAATGCAAAAGCAATGTCAATTGAAATCTTTATCCTTTGGACAAGACTCAGATTTTTTGAAGGCCCATTTGCATCGGCTTGTATTGGAGATGGGTGTAGCCACTCTTCCAGGCTACCATTGTCCATGAATTCATAGACCAAAGCCTTAAAGTCATTTCCATCATAATCAGTACCTGAGCATACTGTCAGTACCTTCAAAAGATTTCGGTGTCTGAGATTCTTTAGAGCCTCGCACTCGGCTTTGAAGCTTTTCAAAGTACCATGACGCGTTAAATTAAGCACCTTCACAGCAATGTTAGTCCCATTCTCCTGGAGTATTCCCCTATAAACGGATCCAGAACAGCCAACACCAATCAAATTAGCTGAAGAAAAACCATCGGTTACTTTAAGGAGAGTTCCATAAGATAAATTTTGCCAGGGATCAGTTATGGAACTTGAAGTTGGTTCTTTTGCTTTCGTCTTCTTCAACCAACGTACATACACAAAAGCCAGAACAAGAACCACCCCTAGAAGTCCAAAAGTAATAGAGAGCGTGAGTTTCAATTTACGAACAAGTCTTTTGCTCTCAGAGTATCTAGAGATGCATCTTGGGAGCCGAAATTCCGGAATTCCTCCACAAATCTTGTTGTTTCCATTAATAAAAGTGGCACTCACATTCTTGAAGACTCCTTCAGTGGGTAACATGCCTTCAAAATTGTTATAGGATAAATTTAGAACTTCGAGGAAGTCAAATGCCTCTAAGAACTTTGGAATCTCACCTGATAGATTGTTATTTGAAAGATCCAATAACACTATGCTTCTTAATGAGCTAATTGATTGAGGAATGGATCCCTGGAAGTGGTTATCCTTCATTTTTAATTCTACCAATCCATTGCAATCGTCTAGAGTGCTCGGAATTTCACCACCGAACATATTGCCCGAAATGTCCAAAGAATTTAAATGGACCAGTTGTCCTACTTCCGCTGGAAGGGTCCCATTCAAATGGTTGTGAGACAAGTTCAAATAGATGAGAGATTTAACCGCTAGGAATATGGAACCACTGAGATCATTGTTAGAAAGATCTAGCTCCGTCAGACTTTGACACTTATCTAGATGGGAAGGAATGTGCCCGTGAAAGTGATTCCCATCAAGATATAATCTGATCAATTTCTTGTTCTGCAAAGAGAATGGAATTACCCCAGACAGATTGTTCTTGGAGAGACTCAGATATCCTAGATTTTGAAGATTTGCCACATCAAACGGGATAACACCGGAAAGAATGCTGTTGGCCATATGCAAGACCTCCAAGTTCACCAAATTCCAGATTGCTCTAGGAATTTCACCAATTATAGGATTGGTGCCCAGTGCCAATTGTGTGATAGAATGTGAGAAATTACCAATGCATTCCGGCAACATTCCACCAAGTCTATTTTCCATAATAGACAAGGTGGTTAAGTTAGTGATATTGGTTAATGAGCAAAGGAAGCTCAAGTCACCAGATCCCTCACTTCCAAGGTAATTAGTTTGAATGTTCAACTTTTGAAGTTTACGCAAACTTTCAAAAGAAGGTACGTTCCCTGTGAGTTTGTTGCCATCAAGTTGAAATATCCTTAGATTTGTGGCATTAGGTATCCACAGAGGGATTGATCCAACAAACTGGTTTGAGGCGATGCTGAAAAATTGTAAGTTGGGGAGACCAAAGCCTATTGTAGTGGGAAGACTTCCATGTATTTGGTTATATCCTACCTCAAATATTACCAATGAAGATAAATTGAAGAGGGAAGGCGGAACCGTACCAGACAACCAGTTGTGTATCAAAACAAATGATGTTAGTTTGGCCAGTTGGCCTAGAGCCTGAGGAAGACTCCCGCCTAAGTAATTCTCGTGAAGATAAAGCTTCTCCAACGATGATAAGTTCCCAATGAAAGAAGGGACACTTCCTGTTAGATTATTTGCTGCTATATAAAGAAACCGAAGCTTCGCCAAAGAACCTATCTCCGGAGGCACTTCTCCACTCAGTCGGTTTCCGGACAATCCGACGTGGAGGAGGTCAAGGCAACCCGATATGTTCTTGGGGATTTCGCCCGTGAGAGAATTCCTGGTCAGCAACAAGATGCGTAACCGGTGCAACCGCCCGATTTGGGAAGGGATTTCATGGTAAAAGCTGTTATTATAGAGCAACAATTCCCTTAAGAAGCTGAGGTTCCCGATGTGAGGGGAGATAGACCCTGAGAGCTTCTGGGAATACAGGGCCAACACGGTGACTCTGTTGGGGTGCCGGAGACTGCACGTGACGCCATACCATCGGCAAAGGTTGACCGTATTGTTCCAGGAGTCTAGCACCCCGAGAGGGTCATCAGTTATTCCAGCCTTGAATGCAAGCAATGCGGATTTGTCGGTTTCATTTGATGCCGAGGAGACTCGTGCAAAGCACGATGCAATAGCAATCGCCAAAATAAAGCAACGAAATTGTAGGTTTGCAAAAGTAAAGCCCAAGATTTGCATAACTCAAAGCAGAAGTGAGCTGAAGTGATGTGCTGGGAGATTGAAAAGGGATGAGAGGTGGGATGTGTAATTTAGCTGTGGTTTAGCCACCACGTTGAGAAGAGATTTATAGAGGGCGAGGATTTGGGAGAGAGCCTCCGCTTTTGGCCTCACACAAATCATTTATCTGCATCAAGTTGGCATAAGCGAGTGGACAAGTTGGCTGCTAAAAGGCGAGAAAGATGTGACATTCCTCCTAGCGGTCTCTCCACGGCAGAATTAAAATTAAAAAATTGATGAAAACAGACATCGGCTGATATTGATTTTTCACAACAAGCTAAATAGGGAAGTTGCATATCATGATTTGCATGAAGTAGACACGTCGGTGGGAGATTGACTTGAGTCATCCCCTATTGCCCCATGTTTCCTTTTGAAAGTAATTTCTGAGTTTCTACCAAACATTTAGATTTTGGAAATTGAAAATGCAAAAACGGACAACTTCTCTGTAACCAAACAGGGCCCAAAATTTTGATTCCACAACAAGCCTAGTAGACCACGTTCAGTTGTCAACAAGCTTCGTCTCTGTGCAGTCTGATAGGCAGAAATTTCCTCCTACCGGCCTTCGATTCACATGACACCGTTGAGGAAACTTTGCATGTAGTTTGTTTGACTTAAAGAAAGAAAACTGCCATTAATCTAAAGTACTAAACGACGATCGATTGGGCCGATTCAAACATATCTTCAACACCACAATGATTTGCACTTAGAAGGTCCAATTTGACGTGCTACTCCCATGTCTTGGCTAGGACCCAGTCAATGTCCAGTAGTGATGCTCCCATTTTTCCTTGTAGGAAAATGACAGCGGCGAGATTGTACCAGCAATTAATAATTGCATGCGGATCATATCGGGAAATCATGTGTCGTATTCTCTCAAATTCGTTCTAGTTCTCCATGTAGGCTCAGGATGTTCATGAAGGATATCTACAACTGCCCGTTCGAATTGGTCATCATGAATTCTTCCAACGGCCAAAAATGGTATTGACGCATCTCTAGCAATGTTAAGGAATTAAGACTAATATTCATCCGCAAACTAGCTTAAGTGATGAAAAGGAAAGGAGAAAAACTGAGTATTTTCTCTCCCGCTACCTTCTTCCACCAACCAAGAAACTCTGGTTTGTAGGACGACGAAAAAGAAAAGCGAATACAGATAAGGTGGCCCGATTTAGGAGACCATTTGCGATTTACATAAACAAGAATATCTGAGCTTACAACGCGCTAAGCAGTGAGTAGATGTCAAAACGCGCCGCCCAAAGCAATGGAAGCTACATGAGGGCGAGAATAAGGAACGATTCGACAAGGGTACAACTTTCTAAAACTTGTTCACCGTAACTCACGTTCATAAAAAATAAGGAGAGTTCAGCTAAATTCGCCGACATAAACTAATACACGGACCTCAATAAGAGGTCCTCAACAGCCAGCCTTCCTAACCAACTCGTGCAATTTTTACCATCAACGTGAAGCCCCCTTAAAAAAATCCTTTCCGGGAACATTTCTCTTCATCGACCCTGCGGATTCCGAGTCAAAACAATGGATGACTCCAATTCATCATTGCATCTACCTACAATCGCCTGCCACGCGTAGGCGAATGACCATCCCGATCACTGGTAATATCATCATCCAGTCCGTTCCCCTCCACGCAGAGACCGTTGTTGTTCACACTCATTTCAGAGCTGGCATTGCTGCTTGTCGCGAGTGGAGAGTCCGACACACTAACTGTCCTACTCCTTGCAGGCCCAGATCTCACGCTATACATGGATGAAGCAGGAATGTTTGTCATCAACGGTCGCAAATTCCCAGGAATGCTTCGCCTTATGTCCTGGATTGAGTTTAAGTACAATCACATCACAAAATAACATCAATCTAATCAAAACATTGCCCTGAGTAGTCAAACAACATTAGATACGGAAAGAGAGAGAAATGATCATCAAGCCTTAGAGTAACCATGTCCAGCAGTCAGCAAAAAGCTAGTTACAGCATTTATGCAAAAGAAGATAAAGGAACATACCATATGCCTTATAGCCATATCCAAGGATTTCTTGGATAGCGTTCGCCCAAAGCCTGAGCTATCTGGTGAAGAAGCCGACTTCCCGGACATGTTACTGTGAGGAGAATGTTTATCATCTTGCTTGGGTGGCACTAGTTTCCTCATGTTTATTACCCTTTCCACCATTTTCGTTCCCATCATAACAGGGTTCACATGGTCGTTTATTTTAGGATGCCCACGACTCACCGCAGGAACAGAGCTTCCACTTGTATGAAGGACACCATTGGCAGGGCGCCCTCTCGACGGTGAACACGATTGCCTTCTTGGTCTTGTAATTGGACCAGGCTCAATAGAAGATGATCGAGAACTGGGTGCCCCAGGCCTACCCCTAGTAGCTGAAAGCGGCCTTTCAGGGAGAGTTGTTCGCAAGTTTGGAGGAGCATCAAGAGAGAAACCCGGCATCTCTGAAGGTTTCCATGGTCTCGATTTCATTGTAGGGGAAGTTCCGCGTGAGGGCACTGGATTTCTTGATGTTGTTGAAGCAGGTTTTGCAATAGTAGAGGACACAGCTTTTGTGGGAAGGGCGGACACAGTGGGCCCAGTTGACATTGTGGATGGTCGGCGAGTTGGTGTTGCTGCCCTTGATGCCGGTTTTGGTGGGTTAACAATGGGACGGGCAGTTGGCGTTGAAGATCTCGCTGTTGACCTTGATGGAGTCGATGATCTGCCAGGAACTGATTGCTTTGCAGCTGAAACTGCAGGCTTGGTCAAAGTACCTGAAGGCCTAGTAGCAGCAACAGAGGGCTTGACAGGCACTGTTGATTTACTTGAAGACAAGGTCGGGCGAGAGGTTGGTGTTGAAGGTCTTGAGGCTCTAGAGGATGTTGTAAGCGTAGACCGACTAGTTGGCGTTGCCGGTCTTGATCCTGGACCCCCTGATGATGAGGGCCGGCGAATTCCTGCCCCCGAAGTGTTCGACCCAGGAGAGGAAGCTTGTTGTCTAGATGTTACATTGGTTCTTGCAGGTGGCTCCACCATGGAATTTGCCAACTAAAGAAATGAACAAACGACCAAATAAGCTATCCAAGCACAGTTTTTAACCCTCGAGAAGGAAAAGAATAAGAATTGAATTTCTTCTAGTTAAGTAACAATTAGCGGACAATCTAAGAAACATATCTTGTGGTAAGCAAAGGCAAAAATTTAAGAGCATGGATGTAACACACTCACAAATGGAATCTACAACCAAGTAAGAGCATCCCTAAGCTAATACCTTTAGCAGTTCCATCTACGATATATGCTGTAAAACAAACTAAAGAATACAATTGCACCATGCTTACAAGCAAAAATATCAAAGAATTATTCACAATACAAGAACTCGATATTCGAACATAACAAATAGAAATAACTAAGTCCAAAAGGCATCACCATCAATCATTAGACACAAAAGGCAAAATGCTTCAGGGCCACTCGGTTGTTAAGAGAAACGAGTATTGGGAATTCAAAATATGCAGGCAGATTTGCATTGAACGAAATTAACACAAGCCCATCCTTCTTACAGCTCCCAATTTTCTTTTGGTATTAAGCGCCAAGCAATTGCAGCTTAATATGACAGAAATTTACTATGCAAACGAGTACTATCTCAGATAGAACAACATGAAATGCTCTTACACGTGATTTAAGCACTGTGGGGCGAGCTTTTGGAGTACCAAGCTGACTCATAACAGTCTTTTGTGATTCCATCTCCAGTGAAGGGAAAAGAGGCGTACCAGGTGGTGTCAAGAGCCTAGAAACAATACAGAGAAAACCAATACGAATCTTAGAAACAAAGCCTAACGTCTCAACATTTTCATGAAACATTGCATTCTCAATAAAATTAGAAGCGCATTCAATGAATCAAAGTAATGAATGATTATTCTAATAAACAAGCAGATTGTATTCTTTCACTGGCTAATGAACATCAAAGATCTTGCCCTCTTGTTAACTATCAACTGTAAACTGTAATTTTTACTTTACCTATCAGATGTTTTAAAATGTGTGTCATCAAAAGCCAGCAAAATCCAAAAGCTGAAGACAAATATTTCTTCCCGGGACTCCAAATCGAAAAAAAAAAAAAAAAGCGTAGGCATGTCAAGACATTCAAATTTCGCATCATTTAATCTTTCGCAATAAAAGCAAAGGACAAGGAAATTCCACCAGTCAATTGAAAACCATCCTAAACGGCTCCAAGATGCTTTCTTATTGGCAGCATATTGGAGTATAAAAATCCCGAAATTCAGGTATTTTGAACCAAATGAATACATAAAAGTGGGCTAATTGTGGAAAAGATTACAACAACTATGCAAAATGGCCATTCTCATACGATGATATACTTGTGTTAAGAATGGGATAACATTGAGGAAATGATATTTGATTTAAGGAAAAAGAAATCAAACTATGAGATCTACTTTCCAACCACCTATCAAAACTGAAAATGTTGCATGCAATTTTAAAGCATGCTCAAGAAAAACTCAATAAAATGTGTGATATTCAGTATGAAGTGAGCAAGGATCTAATATGCAATTGATGAAAGCATGTGAGATACGAGTGAGAAGTCTAAATAATTAATAGTCCCAGATTTGATTTTTTTTCCCCCAATTCCAGAGTCTAAAGTTGAAGTTGCTTCATTAAACACTGATCAAATATCTTTTAAAACCAAACCTTTTCTATAGTCCTTAATTACTGAAAAGGTCACTGTAGAGCTTCAAAAATCCCCAACACTGCCATAACATATCTCCTCTAACTTAAGAAAAGGATCCCCATTCAACAATTGCTTTGAAAACTTCTTTCCTTTTCATATTAACAGGTCATTTTCTGAGAAGGCCATGAGCAGGTACTCATGTATATCAATGCAAATTTGACAGTTCTCAACTCACTACAGCATAATTCTCAGTCGCTCTGCGAAAATGACCACGAGAAACTAATAGCATCTTTTGCTTTATCCATTACCAAAGTAAATGTGGACTGAGAAGATGGACATGCATTGAGAATTCTTAGTGCAGCTGAAATCAATCAAATAGGTTAAGAGAAGTGTCGATCATTCTACAGAAAGGTAAGCAAGGACCTCTCCATCTATAGAAAGTCAGCAGAGCTAAAAAAAGGTCTCAAACGCAACGTATAACCCCAGAATGTCAAATTTTACCAGCACTAGCATACATCTTCTGTCGTATTGAGCAGCAAATGAAAATGGAAGTGAAGGATATCGCCAACGTACCAATCATAATCGTTTTTATCGCCGTCGGAATTAAGAAAATCATCAGTAGCGGTTTTACGCGGAGGCGCCGGAGGGGCAATATTGAATATGGGAGAAGTACCGGGCTTTGATCCTGCAATTTCAATCCTTAACTGAGAATTGAGATAACCCAATTCAACTAAACGACAAACGAGCCAAAAGGACCCTGTCCAGCAACAATACACCACTAGCAGCAAAGCAATGAGCTTCCTCTTCACTAGACTCAAAAGCACAGCTCCCATTATGGCATCTATATACCAACATATATTGTATTAATGACCTCAAATCCGGCAACTGAATCTCGGGTCCTTTCGGAAGAATCTTACCTAACGGAGCATCGAATTCTTCGGCACTGTTGAGGAGGAGATCATTGCGCTCCTTCTCCCGTTTCCGCATCTCGAGGAAGAGCGCGAGATCCTCCTCTTTCTCCCTCATCATCTGCTGCTGCTGCTGCCGGTGCCCCAGCATCTGCGACTCTTGAGCCCGAAAGCTACGATTCATCACCACCAAATCCAGCCTCCACAACAACCAAAACCCAAAAACCGAAAACCAGAAACAAAAAAATCGAATCCGACCCGCGGCCCCAACGAGCAAACCTAACCACAAAAAAAAAAAAAAACCTAGCTTGACTCCCTCGTCCCGAATCGATAGATAAGGAATCTTAACTTAGCTTCGCTCCCACGCCTCCAGCCCGTACCAATAATTTCCCTCCACCAAACACGTGACCCCGAAGCCCCCCCCTCCCCCAAGAAGAGCCGATAACCAAACAACGACAACGACAGCGACGACGCCGACGACAGCAGCAGCAGCAACTGTAGATCTGAGACCGAGCTCGGACGCAGCTGATGGCTCGGGCGACGAGCGGGGGGCTAAACCCCGCGACGAAGCACTTCGCGAGCGCTCTCCCCCAGCTCAAATCGAAGACATCCCTCTGGAAAAACCTAGAAGAAGCTGAGGAGCGACGGAGAGAGGGAGGGGAATGCGGAGAGGTTTCCAGCTCAGTTCGGGTAGTGCGCCATGCTCGGCGGTCGGGGAGCTCGGGCCTAGAGAGAGAAAACACGGGGGGTGGGGGGGGAAAGAATCTAGAGAGAGAGTGGGGGGGGGGGGGGGGGAGGAGGAGCACAGATCAGAAAAATGTGGAGATCGCGACGGGGGGGGGGGAGAGAGAAGAGAGCAGCGCAGACAAAGCGAGGAGAAGGAAGTGGCGGTCAATGTAATTGTGCGATCGTCGGAGGGCTAAAATTGGAAACGGAGAGTGATGTTACAGAGAGACAGACAGAGAGAGGGGGATCAAGCTTTTGCGGTTTCTTCTGCGACGCGACGATAGTAACGTCGCGCCCCCCCGCCTCGAGTCCCATCCGGTGGCGCCGGGCCCCACGGGCGAAACGATCCGCGCCGTCCGAAACGGGGAAGATCGAAGAAATCCACCGGTTGAGATCGGTTCTTCGACTGTCGGCGGGCGCAGGTGATTGCAACCCTCGATCTGCCTCTCTCGCTTGAGGCCCTTGCGTCTTCGTCTGGTCTCCGTTGGTGCTTTCGGGAGGGGGCTGCAATTACGAGGATGCCCCTCTGGAGGTCCTTTGGGGCTACTTTCTCTTTTGAATTTTCAAATTTCTGAGGGGGGGGCCATCCTCGGGCTCCGGCGAGAGCCGTCCAGGACCAGAAAGGGGCTTCAAACTTCAATGCTCAAATAGAAAAATCGAATTGTTTTTGAAATGTGGATATAATTTAAGAAGTAAAAAAACTATTATTCCCTCTGCCATTTGACAACAAAAACCCCAGAAATAATTGGTCAGGACAAGAAAGAGAACATTTGTAATCGAAGGAATCTCTCAAGACCCTCAACCTTGGATACGGACTGTCGATGATTGATTTAGCCATCTAGAAAACTCTTGCCTTACAAGTTGAAATTGTTCATGAGCAACTCGATTCAAATTGGTAAAAAGTCGGATATGACCGTATCAAGCTGTTTGTGAGCTGTTACTCGATCAAGCGTACAGTAAATATAAGTTCAATCCACGAATAATTAATGATTTTTTTGAGTTGGTAATAGTTATTTCTTTGGAAATGTCAGTATATTGATGTATGTCATTTTAAGTGATTTTTACAAACTGTCCGCAAAAGCCGGTTCAAAGTAATCCTCAATTAGTTCGGTTTAGACTCAACAAGGCACTGTAGAGTATCATTTAGATGCTCGTTCATAAGCTACCGGAGAGAGCCAAAAACAAAGACAAGCTCAACTACCCACATGGATGCGTAGTTCATTGGAGTGGGTGTGTGCTCGAAAATCCTCATTGGTGTCGAGAGAAAAGATTCCCCATTCAAGTTACTGTTTTCCTAGTCAAACTTCTCAATTCAATACAGCAACATTACTGGCAAGAACTTCAGCTGACTTTCTGCAGACGGTCACATTCATGCCCCAGAATTAGTTAAGGTTTCCGATGCTGCATATTGCAGCGACAGATCAATCAAGCGCGTGGCTTTTTGCTTCTTGTTGCAGCATGATGACCCAACAACAGTTAAAAAAAGGCCTATCAGACATAAATGTGATCCAGCCTTTTTTATCTACGTGGCGATAGAGTAATTTGAAAGGCATATAGGCCAAATGGTTAGTCTCCCTCTGCTGTCTTAACTTCGATTAGGATTCACTTTCTTGAATGTTGTTAGATCAGAGAAAGCCCACGATCTTTAGATGTTCGATGAATTAGAAGATGTGTCACATGATTGTATTGACCACACTTGACCCTGAGATCAGCGTACCCCAATGAGAGACATTACCCGCAAAAGAGAAATGGTGTAGACCAAATTTTGCCAACGCTTGCTTAGCTGGTTTATCGCATTATCTGTAACTAGAAACCGCGAGTTAGACATGTACCAATAAAATTGACCCTGAGTTCTTGCGATACAAAAGTCCTAATGGCACCGTCGAAGAGGGGAAGAGGGCAGGCATAAGAGCTTAGCCATAATGCAAAGTCAAAACTTCATATATATCAACAGATAGTTTATGGCTTTCAAACTCATCTTACAACCCGAATTCCCCAAGGAAGCATGACTAGGCTACATACAATCTCACACAAGAATACTAACACGCAGATGGTGATGCTTTACATAAAAGTTGCAGCACCCTCATTATTCCTCACTCAACGAATCAAAGAAAATCAAAGCGCATAAGCAGCTTTACAGATTTGTACTTCTCTCCTTTATGATCATGGAGCGATACCATCCTTATGCCGCTCCTTAGTTCCGAGACGGGTAGGCATGTTTGACCTCCAAAGTCATCCTTCTCAGACATGTCGTACTCGTGAACTTCGATTCTGAGCAAAGCCAGTTCCGGGACAGTGAGTGGGAACTCGAATTCCTCATTCCAAGCAGGGATCCAGTTATCTTCAAGCGCCCTTGTCTTTTTCATTACTCTATCGGCAGGAACTCCAGCAATTCCAACCTGCAAATAGGTTTTTCTCTTTCTTAAGAACACTATATATACACAGATGAAGCGGTAAATACCAGAAAAGAGACCTCATAGTTTATGTGAAGATTGGAACATGCACCGTTAGTCCCGATTGATTTTTTGTAGCACTTTCCCAACAAAAGAGTAATGAAGACCCTCTTAACTTACCCTGGCATAAAAATCTGGAGGGGAATATAAATCGAAATGGGTGCTACTGAAATCGTTATGCCAGCCCTCGCCCATATATACAGTCACCTAGAAACAGACAAGAAAATTGAACATACGGTCAGGCCATCAATAGAATCACACTGAGAGAATGAAGCTTCAACAGATTGGTTGCAAGTAATAGCATAGGCTGACTATAATAAAGATCTGACCTTCAATGTTGTTTTCGCAGGTAAGGGAGCTTTTGGATCAAAGAGGTCATTCAGTGGGCCAGACTTCAGCAAAAAATCTGGTTTTTTAATATAGCCGCATCCACCATTGGCTCTGAACATCCCTTGCATCAACCAAAGTGATCTTCCGTATCCCTGCATCATTTTTACAGAGCATCAAAATTGCCCAACTAAATCCTTTTAGATATAAGTTGCACACGAAAAACGGTGCAAAAAAGTCGCTTCACTTCACACAGCTTTCTTAGTATCTATCTTGCTTCCACAACGACGGCATGCCCAACTACTTCTCCTTCTCCAAACTATGTGCAAAGCACAACTCACTAACTCTCAATTAATTGTCATACAAAAATTTATGAGCATTTACTCGTCAAACATCAAGGCAGGAGGAACCCTCATCAGAAAACATTGTACATTGTCCAAATCTAAACGACTTCACCACTTCTGCTAGGACTTGACAGGAGTGAAGCATGAGATTCTTTAATAAGTAAACAGAAAACGTCTGAAGATTGACCGATAAAAATGCTACCTGCATATTAAATGCAACCATCTGAGCTCCATGTGACCACCCAATAAGTGGGTTGTAATTTGAAGAAGTGATACGCGTGCCTTTTGGATAGATTCTCAGCAAATTCCGTTGGGTGAACCTGTATCAGGCCATTCAATAGGCACAGGAAGCGATGTTTGAATCATGAAATTGATAGAGAAACATCCCACGGTAAGTCGATATCTTATGATAACCGATGCTTTGGTTTCAACAAACAGCATTTTGTTACAGCGTTGCACGAAAGTTTGGACGACCAAGTATTTAGAGAGGGAAAAAGGATAAATGGCAAAACAAGATTAATGGCAGCAACCTGTCGTGATGTATGCCAATAGGGACCTTTCTGACAATGACCGAGGCTCATCATTATTTTCAAGCACTTGACCGATTTAGTATATAACGATACCAAATTGTCTGAGCGATCATCAAGTTATCAAATATTGATCAATCATTTTGTGCATTTAACACTTAGCACAACATGCCTACCACTTTTGTAGTTCATGATATCAACATGTTGAAAGCTGAGTACTTGTAATCACATTATGTAAAGTGCGAAAAGTTCTGCGTGATCGGTGACTAGCCCTTCTACATTCTAACGCCATGCAAGATTTATTAGTCGATCTTGTCCAGCAAAGAACAGGGCCCGACACAAAATCCACTGTAGAGATTACAAAACAATACCTGACAATTTCTTTTGCATGTGTGACAACAGCTTTCTCAAGCTGTTGCTCACTTAGGCTCAAACGTCTAACTTTGTCGGGATCAACCTTCAAACAATCATCTAATCCCCCTTTAGGCTTTCCAGCATGAATAGCGATCAGCCGCTTGTACTCCGGAGCTGCATTTTTCTGTGGCTTATCTCCACCTGCGCTATCATCCTCATCATCCTCATCCTCATCATCTTCATCATCATCATCCTAAAGAGAGAAACGTGACACAGCAAAATTCAAAATCAAAATCCACGAAAGTCAAAATTACACCATCTTTCATACACAGAGTTACGACCTTGTCGTCATTTGCAATATCTTGTCTCAGGTCTGGGACTTCTTTTCCCCAAGCGTCTTCATCTGCTGCCTTCCCTTTCTGTGGATCAACTTCCTTCTCTGTTATTTCTTTTGCCTGAAGGTACTCCTTTGGCGGTTTGGTAGATATAATAACTCTTTTCTTCAGTGACTCAGGGGAGGGGAATTCCTTCAAGCACTCTGGACCGGGTGAAAACAGTACATCTCCAAACGTTTGAGTGACCATCTAGACATTAATAGGAGAATTAAATAAGCAGGACATCAGAAGATTTGAAATTTCATAAGATTGCAAAACCACACCTCAGCGACTTTAGCTTGAAGATCAGCAGTGAGGTGATCCTCCAAGGTGATTACAACAGGGTAATCGGATGCAACAAAGGCGTGCTCTTTAATAGATCTTAAACATTTTATAAGTTCCACTGGAGTAGTCAAGGTCCTGTACAAATATCAGACATGATAAGCTGGACTCAGAAGTTGTTGAACCAAATATGTCCGCATATACGCGTAATCAATTAATTTGCATCCTTCTAACAAGTTAAAAATGAGACAGGAGAGACAATGCACAATCTTAGATACCATACTCATTGTTCCTCTTACGTTGCACTAAAGGAACAACATTATTGTAGCCAAACTCAACTCGCACTTTGCACCATACCTTCCATGAAGAACATGCACATCATCCTTGTTGGAATTTGGCCATATATCCAATTCGATTACTCTAACCCCTCTCTTTAAGGCATCGATAATAGGTCCATCGCTGCAGTCGCTGCTAAGTTGATTGCCAGTTAGGTAGGAATTGTGGCCAGTATAGATGTAATAATGAGAGAGAGGAGCATTCATATCATGATGCACCTGAACAAGAGAGATGAAAAAAACAGAAGGTTATAAGAATCAATTATAAAGTGATTTTTTAATCTACTAACACAATGTCCATCCATCCTATAAGAGTTTCCCTCTTTTTCATGTAGTTAAAGGCTTAGAGAGATGAAGGATAGCAACACCGGGCTCAGTGAGTGAAAAAAATCTGACACGACACTTGAAGAAAAGAACTTCTGTTCACATTACAGGAATTCCTTGCGTTTTATCGGTTCTTTTATTGTGGCTTAATGCAGTTCTTAGGATATGGTTTCTATGCATATAAGGGGGAATAGGCCTAGGAACATTTGAAGGCAAAGCGTAATGCAGGAATACGAGAAAATATATACACGAACAGCTGGACCATATCAAATCACAAGGATATCAATTATCCTACGCGTCATTATTTGTCAAGATTACACTAGCAGTGCAGTCTAATTACTCGGATATTCTACCACATGTCAAATGGAGAAACTAGTAATCTTTTCTGTAGAATGCAATTGTCCATCTGCTGATCAGAACTGATAACAAACAAGAAAAAAAAGTACTTGAATGGGATATGAATTGAATGATGGACTCGATATAAAAGGCGAAACTTAGATCTTTCTTCTGTGTCTTGTGATGAAATATTCAGCCAATCCTACTTTTAGACAAACTTCTACGTCGAGTCGCTCCTGTCGCAGCTCCTAATGTTAAGACCATGTTACCTAGATGAAACGATGAAATGAATTTACGAAAAAGAATCAATGACATCGCTCTGTCTAACTAGGAGACAATCGATGAAGCAACGAGATAGAATCTCGGCATCCAAACAAGATTCTATTTACTCTATTCAAGCACGACCATTACGAGGATGTTGTCTTGCTTCTTTCCGTACACTCCACATATCTCAGCCGGTGCAGAATCACAGAGCTCATCCTGATCGTCGAGACTAAATTACAAAAGAGAAACCAAAGAACGGAAAACACAGGGACCGAATTCAGGGAAACCGATCGAATCGATGAAACACGCGGCATTGAAAAGATCGTGGCCATACCCCAAGATTCGGCGACAGAGGAGGATTGATATCGCCAAACAAGTACCAAAAGAAGGCCTCCAGGGTGAGACCCTTCCTCTGGAAAACGTTCAAATGCCTCTGCTCGCGGAGCTTATCCACGATGCCCTGCGCGTCCTCCCTGGTGGCCCCGCCCTCCTTCTGGACCTCGATCAAGAACCTCTGGAGCTGATCGACGGACATGACCTCGTTCTCGGAGTACTGCCGGAAGAGGGCCTTGATCCCCTCCGGCGCCTCCGACGACGTGGGCCCGAACTTCCGGCGGAAGCAGAAGCACACTCTGTACGTCTGTTTCGACATGGGTCCGTCCACGCGACACCCGAGAAACGCAGCCTCTCGAGACAAAAGCAGAGCAAGAACTTTCAACAACCGTGGGGAGAGAGAGAGATATCGCGGGGCACTGGGCACGACACGATACGAGGATGGGCCGAGACCCGTTCCTCGGACGGGATAGGGGATGGGGGGGGTGGGGACCAGTCAAGAATCGGAGAGAAGGAAGGATGGAAGATAGGAGAGGTGGTGGTGCATTACAGTCGAGGTGAGGGTGGCGATGGATAACCACTTCTTGGTTCCAGAAAGATGGAATGGGGAAAGAAAGGAAAGCATTGGGTGTGGGGCCCAGTGGTCCCACTCCTTGCCCAATCCGAACGAAGCTGTAGGTACGAGTTTCGAAGGGGCGAATCAATGCGGGAGATGTGTCGCGTCGTTAGGTTGTGTCGGCCGAACGAAAAATAAAGAAGAATGCAAAAAAGAGCGCCGTAATCATCTTCTCCTTATTGCGCGGATAGTGCGTGTTTGCTCTTGCGTCGGTACTACGTCGACATCTATTTCATCTCCCTTTTCTTGATTTGGTCTTATTGGCGAGAGATATGGAGACGTGCCATCTATCTATTACGACTTATGACGTGTATGAAAACTCTTCGATGAGAGGTCACATAGATAATTCGTGCTTTAAATTATCGATCTTGGCTTAAGTATTTAGATTGCGGCATTATTGTTGTTAGATATAATATATAATTTAAGTTTACTGTTCATTCTTTCCTTATATAAAGGGACTTGACCTTGTAGTTCTATTTCATTCAAGCAAGTAATATACACAAAATTTTCTCATCTCAACTTGGTATCAGAGCCGTTATTACCTGACCTTGTATAAAGGGACTTGACTTATATAAAAGGACTTGACCTTGTATAAAGGGACTTGACCTTGTATAAAGGGACTTGACCTTGTAGTTCTATTTCATTCAAGCAAGTAATATACACAAAATTTTCTCATCTCAACTTGGTATCAGAGCCGTTATTACCTGAGGAGCGGCCATTGAGTCTGCCACACCGCCGCCACGACGCCAGCCGCACCGGCTGCGCCCCCCCGGTTCTCCGACAAGACCGAAGCTTTTCGTCTCTGCTCGGCATACTTCCGCCGCTCATTTCGGAAAACCGAGACCACCAGCAGACTCGCCGCCCTCAGACGACTCACGTCCTGAAATTTCATCATCAACGGCCGCCGAACGCCACCGCACGCACCGCCCCGCGCCACTGCGCCTTGGACCCAGGTAGCCCACCGCCGTTCACCGGTGTTTTGGACATCCTCCGCCGTGCTTTTCCAAAAACCAACACGAACCCACGACTCGCCACCCTTAGTCGAGTCCGCCAGTCAAGTTTCGCCGCCTTCCTCCGCCGGAAGCGCCCTCACGCGCCGCTCCAAGCTCTGTGCGTGAGATCCACGCGCCGGCACGAGCCTGGCCCACGCTGGCACGCGCCTGGCCCACGCTCCCCAGCTGACGTCATATGCCATGTCACCGCCACGCCATCTTCCACGTCACCGACACGTCATCCGTTGACCGGCGTTGACCGACCATTGACCAGACTGGTTTTGTCGTTTTTTTTCGGTCGGTTTGACCATTTCCTGACCGGTTTTCGGTGTTTTACAACCGGTTCTTGAGGTATTCCGACATCCTGAGCTAGTTTTTGGTGTTATTTTTCCCAGATCTGCTCTCGGTATACTACATTCTGCTGATTCCATAGTAGTAAAGTGTCTTTCATGGATAGAATGGATAGAATTGATAGAATGGAAGTCTCAATGCCAATTCAGACTATTTTAAATGGTTACAATTATATTTTATGGTCTCAAGAGATATCAAGTTTCTTGAAAGGACGCCGGCTTTGGCGTTATGTCACTGGACAAATTAAGGTACCTACTAGAATTGCTGAAGAAACTGATGATCAATTTGTAGATCGTTTGGATGAATGGGATAGCAGAAATCATCAGATTCTCACATGGTTTCGAAACACTTCGATCCCATCTATCCGACTTCTGTTTGGCCTTTTTAATACAGCAAAGGAAGCTTGGGATCTTTTTGATCGTCGTTATTCTAGTTCAGATGTTGCCCATCAATATCAGTTGTTAGGGACTTTATATCACATGCGTCAGGAGCCAGGTCAGTCTATTAATGATTTTCTATCATCTATGCATGCTATTTGGGATCAGTTGACCTTGTGTGAACCACACTTGGAAGGGGATAGTAACATTCGCAAAGTTGCTAAACATCGTGATCGTATTCGTGTTATGCAATTTTTTATGGCTCTGAATGATGACTTTGAACCTGTGAGAGCTTCCATTATACATAGAGATTTTTTTCCTTCTATTGAGACAGTTATATCAGATTTACTGAATGAGGAGACTCGGCTAGCTACCTTAAAAACGCAACGTCCTACTGTGCCCATAGCCATGCCTACGGATGCAGTACTTGCCGCTTTGAGTTCTTCCTCCGTGCACCGTCCATTTTGCAAACATTGTTGCCGATATGGTCATATGGCATCAAATTGTTATTGGCTACGACCTATGCAACCCACAGGATCGACCACTCAGCCTCGTAGCCGAGGTCCCTCTGTCGGTCCATCTGCCAATGCTGCCACTGTCGAAGCTTCTTCCCATGGATCATCCCACACACTAGTGTCTCTAGAGGATCTTCGCACCATTCTCCGAGAATCTTGTACCTTTACCCCTCCTATTCCTAGTACTTCTACTATGTCTACTACTCCAGGTATTTCTGATTCTTGGTTCTTTGATTCTGCTTGTTGCAATCACATGACATCCAACTCTGCCTTATTTCAGTCTAAATCCTCCGCTTTACATGCACCTCATATTCTTACTGCCGATAATTCACATATGAGAGTTAGTCATACAGGAAACATTTCCACATCTACATTATCTTTAACTAACACATTCATGGTTCATAAACTCTCACTCAACTTGATCTCTGTCGGCCAATTGTGTGAATTTGGTCTTGATATTCACTTCTCTTCTCATGGTTGTCATGTAACACTCCGGGTCTACACTGTGTAATATTGTCCGCTTTGGGCCCACTGGTCCTCACGGCTTTAAAACGCGTTACACATTATAGGCCACCCACGCCTTATAAACTAGCCCAGAACTCCCCCCTAGGCGATGTGGGACAAGAGACATGCCCCCCTTGCCATCCTAGAAGCCTGCCAGAAGCCGCTCCTTGCTCAAGCCAGAATCCACTGGCCCCGGCGACCACTCCCCGCCCTCGTCGGACCGGGTAGTTACATTCTCCCCTCTTTCGAGCACAGCGTCCTCGCTGTGGCCCCACATGCGGTCGAGAGTCGGCTCTGATACCAATTGTAACACTCCGGGTCTACACTATGTAATATTGTCCACTTTGGGCCCACTGGTCCTCACGGCTTTAAAACGCGTTACACATGATAGGCCACCCAGGCCTTATAAACTAGCCCAAAACTCCCCCCTAGGCGATGTGGGACAAGAGACATGCCCCCCTTGCCATCCTAGAAGCCTGCCAGAAGCCGCTCCTTGCTCAGGCCAGAATCCACCGGCCCCGGCGACCACTCCCCGCCCTCGTCGGACCGGGTCGTTACATGTCATGTGCAGGATCCTCGGACGGGACAGACACTTGGGACAGGCCGTAAAGTGAGGCGTCTCTTTGAGCTTGTTTCCCTAAATATCCCGACCACTTTTGCTGCTTGTGCTGCCACAGTGTCATCTGAAACTTGGCATTCTAGGTGAGGACATGTTTCCTTTTCTAGGTTAAGCTCTTTAATTTCGAGAGGTCATTTAGGTTCTGTTGACACTAAACATTTTGACTGTCTGCCTTGTAAGTAGGGAAAACATCATGCTTTACCGTTTTAGACTAGTGATTCTGTGTCTCATGCTCCTTTTGATCTCATTCACTTTGATATATGGGGACCTTCTTCCACTCTCACCATGGGTGGCTCTCGCTATTTTGTCATTTTTGTGGATGACCATTCTCAGTATACCTAGGTTTATCTTATGAAAAATCATTCTGAACTTTCTCGTATTTATCGTGATTTCGTTGCTATGGTTAAAATCCAATTTTCACGAGATATTAAGATTTTTCGTACTGATAATGCTATGGAATATAGAGATATAGAATTTCTTCGGATTCTTTCTCAAAATGGTACTATCATTCATCGCTCTTGCCCTGGCACTTCTCAACAAAATGGTAAAGCTGAACGTAAGCATAGGCATATCTTAGATGTTGTACGCACTCTGCTCATCTCTGCCTCTTGTCCTGAATGATTTTGGGGGGAAGCTTGTCACCCTGCTATTTACACTATAAATCATACTCCATCACCTATTATAGGTCACATCTCTCATTACGAGCGTTTGTATGGTAGTGTCCCAAATTACACTCTTCTACGTGTTTTTGGTAGTGCCTGTTTTGTGCACCTTCATCCACATGAGCGCACGAAATTAGAACCTCGTGCTCATGTATGCTGCTTCCTTGGATATGGCATTGAGCACAAAGGGTATAGATGTTGGGATCCCACTTCCAATCGTCTTCGTGTGTCCCGTCATGTCACTTTTTGGGAATACAAAGTGTTCTCTTCTATTCATCCCTTCGACCCCTTTGCTCATGTTCCTTTCTTTACCAATCCTTCCGTGGACTTATTTCCAGAAGACACCACACTTCTGTCTACATCTGACTCTTCCATTCCAGATGTACCTTTCCCTCATCTTGAAGCAGGGCCTTCTGGTGACCCCACTTTGGCCACTTCTGACGTGTCTGCACCTTCTGCGGATTCTCCACCAGCGGTCATTCCTTCCTCCTCTGATCGTCGCCCCACCAGAGTAAGTCAACCTTCTATTTGGCTTCGAGATTACCATTGTTATTCTACGATAGCTTCCCTTCATGAACCTCGCACATATAGAGAAGCCAGTACTAACCCTCTTTGGCAGAAGGCAATGGCAGATGAGTTACAAGCTTTAGACAAATCTCATACTTGGGATTTAGTTGCTCTGCCTCCTGGTAAGTTCGATGTCGGTTGTAAATGGGTGTACAAGATTAAGACAAAAGCAAATGGTACTGTGGACCGCTATAAAGCTCGCCTCGTTGCGAAAGACTTCACTCAGGAATATAGCATTGACTATGAAGAGACTTTTGCCCCTGTTGCACGTCTTACTTCTGTTCACAGTCTTCTTGTTGTCACCGCTGTTAAGCGTTGGCCTACGTTTCAGATGGATGTCAAAAATGCATTCCTAAATGGCGATCTCACCAAGGAAGTTTATATGGTACCTCCTCCTGGCTACACTCATTCTTCCCACCAAGTGTGTCGATTACGTCGTGAATTATATGGATTGAAACAATCTCCTCGTGCATGGTATTCCAAGTTTAGCTCCACCATGGCATCTCTTGGCTTTAAGTTTAGTCCCCACGACCACGCTCTTTTTGTTCAACATACTTCTCACGAGCCTATTCTGCTGCTCCTATATGTCGGCGATATGGTTATTACTGGAGATGATCGTCCCAGAATTTCAAAACTCAAGCATTATCTTGGTCAACAGTTCGAGACGAAGGATCTTGGACAACTTAGTTATTTTTTAGGCTTGGAGGTTATCTCAAACACATCCGATTATTATCTTTCGCAAGCCAAATATGCCACTGATCTTCTTTCTCGAGCAGGACTCATGGACACGAAGGTCGTTACGATCCCTCTTGAGATCAATGCCAAATTTGGTGCCGATGATGGGACTCCTCTCCAAAACCCTACCCTCTATCGATAGCTAGTTGGCAGTCTTATATATCTCACTGTTACTCGCCCTGACATCGCTCATGCTATTCATATTGTCAGCCAGTACATGACAGCGCCTCGTACAACTCACTTTGCTGCAGTTCTTCGTATTCTTCGCTATGTTAAGGGTACGTTATTTCATGGCCTTCACTTTTCTGCTCATTCGACATTGGAGTTGACTGCCTATTCATATGCTGACTGGGGTGGTGACCCTCAAGATCGTCGCTCCGCTACGGGTTACTGTTTTTTCTTGGGCACTTCACTTATCTCCTGGCATAGCAAGAAACAATCCACTATTGCTCGTTCTAGTACAGAAGCTGAATATTGAGCTCTTGCTGATACCACATCGGAGTTATTATGGTTGCGATGGCTACTGGAAGATATGGGAGTCCGTCATCATAGCGGGACAATCCTTCATTGCGACAATCGCAGTGCTATCCAAATTGCACATAATGATGTTTTCAACGAACACACCAAACACATTAAGATAGATTGTCACTTCATCCGCTCTCATGTTCTTCGTGGCACTCTACGACTTGTCTTTACTTCATCAGCTGATCAGATTGCCGATATCTTCACCAAGACACATCCACCTGGGTGCTTCCTAGATCTTCTCTCCAAACTCCAGTTGACTTGTTTTAACTCACCTTGAGTATGCGGGGATGTTAGATATAATATATAATTTAGGTTTACTGATCATTACTGTTCATTTTTTCCCTATATAAAAGGACTTCGCCTTGTAGTTCTATTTCATTCAAGCAAGTAATATACACAAAATTTTCTCATCTCAACTATTGTGCTGACATTTCTTTGTTAATATGGATCTTAAGTTGTGATGAGTGTGATTTGATATGGTGAGGAGAACTTTTAGCTTTAGATTGCCGAGAGCATGGACGATCTCGAGTCATTAATATAAGATCGTGATCATACTCGCAAAAAGGCAATGTCTTGCCCAAAAATAGAAGAGAACTTGCCAAGGTAACAATGAAGCTGGTCGTCCAATTCATGTACTCCCCCACTCAAATGCATTTTGAAGAAATCCATAGCAAATCCATTTGTCTAACTTCCTTATATACAGGAAAGCAAATGAACTCCATGCCGATTCTTACTCGGACCCAACTTGGAAGATATCACTCCAAAAAATTTAGATGGTTCGTACATTAGTCCAAGACCAAGTGGAGAACAAACCTAGATGAGTCCGAAGATCAAAGCTCTTTTTCATTTAGTTCCAAAACTCACCTCCACAGAAATTGCGATGGCGACTAAATCTAAATTCTAATGGACTAAAAAGAAGATGCAAAGATCTCGTCAGCACTCAATATTGCTCCGTATTAGCTCAGAGCACGCCGGCCCTGTTGCAATGTTTGTGGTTCTTTTGGCGAGAATGTCGGGAGTGACATTCATGGCTACAACACTCATCTACGAGATAACACTACAGAAACTCCAAAACAAGCCCCGGTTTTGCACTTCAATGAAGTGGGGCGGTCCATTATAAATACTAAACTTTTTTTTTGGTAAGGAAAAAAAAAAAGTTTAGTATTTATAATGGACCCAAAAAACAGGAAAAAAAAATTAAAATGCTTATTTGGTCTGGATATCACCTAAATGACTTCTCTTTGCTGGAATACATTAGAACAACAACAATACAGCTAACTTGACAAGAGCTTAAAAATTGAATCTGTCGCGTTGCGGAACTTTATATCAAGAGATGAAGAACCTCCTTCGGTGCTTCGTCACGTGACTAACTGCAGGGCTAGGACGCGATACTCTCCAATAGGGCAATGCATGTTCTCTTATAATCAAATTCAAGTGAAGGTCAGAGCTTTTATAAAGTCAAAATGTGGCGTGAATTGAATGAGAAATTATGCCGTTTATTCTTCTGATCTCCTCTTCCTCCCTAGAACAGATGAAGGCTGAAATCTCCGGCCACCTACACGCCACTTCTTAAAGGCAGCCACTGACGATTGAGCTGCCTCATACACTATACAGGAAACCACAGCATCAGTTTCTCGCATAACAAAGGATAAGAAAAGAAAGCAGATATAAATATCCAATCAAACTCTTACAATTGACTTCTTCTTTAGTAAGCCGGGAGAGAATTTTCGGAGCTGCCACATGCGACGCAGTGTGTGCCTTAGTCAGTACTTCTTTATATCTACTTCTAAATGCAGAGAAGAGCAGAAATCCAAGGGTCCTATCACCAACACTATTCATGAAAAGGAACAAGGAGATAACATAAGTTTACATAAAACAAGGTCTCAAGATTAGAAGGAACCTGAACTATTATGTATATATTTGAACAAGTAAAACCAGAGAGATGCCTCCTCTTCAGCAAATGGGAGAACTATAACATTAACTAGCAAATCTTTGAGCAGTGACTTGAAACCACTCAGTCATATAAAAGCGCTTCATTAGATGCAGCCCATCTCATCTACAGTATCGCTAGAAGATCTTAAACTTTCATCAGCATGGACAATCTACAGGTTTCTTGCGGCGTTGAGTGAACCAACTGCAGAACTCTTTCCCGTGAAAATAAGGAAGGAATTGAGATAGGCTGCAAAATAACAACTTGCCTCTCTAATATAATATTCTAAACGACCTTCTCCACCAAAAGTGGATTTTGCTTGAAAATAAACCGGGAAAGAAGCTAAGGGAGAAGAAACTGATAGATATTCAAGGACATGAACCAACCCATTGAAATGACTAGGCCTCTTAGAAAAATGAGTCAGAGTTTTAGTCTTTTGGGTGATCTCCAAGACAATAGAGGGAGGATTTCCATTGAGCTATGGTAAAAATTTAGTTTGTTCCATGCGATTCACCCACTTAAAAGCTCGCTAATTCCCTATACTTCTCCAAGTTGAAGTCATTAAATATGTTCATAACCTTGCCTTTTGACCAAAACTTATGTGCAGTACCTCAACAGTGCCAGGTACAATTAAGAAAAATCTGATGGGAGTATTCAGTGAATGCAACAGAAGAAACACCAAGATTCTGGGTTGTGGAGGGAAAAGGTGTTGCAGAAGATACTCACATCGGCGCCATCTTGCAGCCAAATTCATAAAAATATGGACTTCGAGATCTCAAATCCACACATGCAGGATCAGCCTGGATTTCCAGTCTAGTTCTGACATCATCCCAAATACAATATAAAACGATTAGAGTGTCACAACAGACTGAAATGAAACTTTAGAAGTCCATAAACGAGGACTCTACAACTCTAATGTGTGTATCACGATGTTGCATTCTTATGAGGGAAGGGTAGACATGCTACTTCTCCACCTAGATCATCTCTGTACTCATGCCCCATATGTAGTTTGAATATCATCTTCCAAGGCAATGCATATAAATAACAGTGATCACCGTCTTACTTTTCATCAAAACATGCCGGAACAAGTACTGATACTGCATTTCTCTGGCACAACTCGTTAGCAAGCCAGAAGGGCAGCTCTACTTTTGATCCTTGGTCAACCTGGAGAGAGAAAAGGAAGGGAAAGAGAAACAATAAGCAAATATACTCCGAACAACCACCTAGATAAAGCTCCAGAATATTGGAAAACATACGCAATTTTTCTCTGCACTAGGATCAATCCCAACTCCATTTACCGGCTTTTGGAATACAACTGAAACCGGCTGTCATCAAGGACATCAGAAACAGAAAATTAGAGTCTTTGAGGAGTCTAAAAACTGACCAAAAGACCAACAGGGAGAAGAGAATAAAGCCAGTGCACACCTCTTCTTCGGCAACGATATCATCAATGTCGTAATAACCTGCCATCCTTCAGATCAGCTCGTCGAGACAACGAGACCGGAAAATTAATCTACACCGAGCTCACTTCCATACAATCCCACCTACAGAACCATCAAGACTGCCATAACAAAATCAGCAATAGCACGAGCACTGACAAATTCAAAGAAATCATCGCGTCAGTTCAATAATCAACAGCCCATCGCCATACGAATGCCCCGACCAGTGAAGCAACCACGAGTCACACCGAAAGTTCCACACTCCTCCTCCCCCCCAACCCATGGAAAAAGAGAAAGCAAAATCGGCAGCCGTCTCCGATCTTACAATAGTCAACGTAGCTTGTCCCAAAAAATGGGGAAGTGCTCGCCTTTCTTTCCCCAATGTACGACAGAAGCTCGGATTCATACTAAGCGAGAGACACCCGAATATCGAAACGGGGCATGCCCATACACGAGACCAGCGCAACAGCCATTTCCGATCTTAGGCCAAACCAAACCGCGCATTAGGGTTGCGATCACAACGGCATAACCAAGTAGCAAAACACCCAAATTCAGAGCAATCGAGATCACATCGCGGGTCGAAGAAGAAGGAGAGAATCGGAGAGAGAGAGAGAGAGAGAGAGAGAAGAGGGGAAAGCACCTGCCGCCGGAGCTTCTCTCTACCTTCAGATCGGCGTCACCGTCGGCGAAAACGCGAGGAAGGGAGGGAGGGAAGGGGAGAAAAATGGAGGGAAACTCGAAAAATTTGCGCCGCTTGAGACTGAGAAGTCTCTAGCACAGGCTAATGGAGCGAGACTTTCGTGGGCCAAAAGGCCCATTATCTTCCAATGAAGCCCCAAAACGAGCCACTATATGGGCTTCAAGGGCTCTTGAGACTGAGATCCCCTCGATATCATGCCGACGCGGTACCATCGATTTAATTTGGCATGGGATAATGATACAAATAATCCTTGAACTTTAGCCAAATATGTAATGTGATCTATGAACTTATAATTTGTTCAATGTTGCCTCTGAACTTTACCTAATGTGATCTCTGAACTTTTAATTTATACAATGTGGTCCATGAATGTTTGGTACATATTTAATTTAGTCCCTCGATTAACATTAAACATTTTCATATAATCCAGTGACCAAATTAAACATGTACTAAAAGTCCAGGGACCACATTGAATAATTTAAAAGCGCGGGGATCACACTGCACATTGGGCTTAAGTTCAGGAACCACATTGAACAAACAAAAAGTTCATGAACCACATTACACATTGAGTCAAAACTCAATGACCATTTATGTCATTTTCCCATTTAGTATTTTCCCTCTGCACAATACGCTGCATAAGTTGTCATCCGATTTCAATGAACCAAGTAAGTTCTCAACAATATATCGATGTCATTTCGGCACGCGACGCAATACAAATCTTACGGGGAAGGTTTTGCAATCGGAGGACTCTATGTGTGACTCTGCCGAGAGTGCAATCATCCCAGTGGAAGCAAAAGGAGTTAAAAATAGCGAATGCAGAGCATGTCATCGAGTGCAATTTGAGTTTCGCATTGCTTCTTCTCCTCCTCCTCTAGGATACGCCAATTACCATCGCATCGATGGGAACCATCTCGTCCTCCAAAACAAGCGATGTTCCGTGTTGGCGTTTTGCATGACACATTCATTGCGCAGCTACGCGACGGAAACACACGTGGAGGAGCTTCTAGGACAAGTTGCTCATCACCTTCAATTCGATTCTTTCTAGAAAAATTTGTTAATAAATTATAGATTTTTTGGGCCCATTGGAACTGGATTGTTTCTTATCGATATGAAGCCCGCGTGCGAGACGTGTGGGAGAGGGTCGACATACAAAACGACGAACAGAAATCCCACTTAACTTCCTCACGAAGGCATCCCCCCAATCTCTATCTTTAGCCCACGCAATGTACACGTCCATGCTTCCTTCCCATTTCGTCATGTCATGTTGATTGAGGATTTGATGTTTCGGATATTTTTCAGGCCCTACATGGAAAAATTCATGCCTTGCTCGAGAAGTTGCAGTCCTCGTGTACATCCATTGGAGGGACATTGAGATTCGGTCGGTTTGATTTGGTGGTCTTGTCTTGAGGAACCCCACGTCCAAAGAAAAGCCTTAGCGGTTGTCTGGTCGATAAACATTATTATTTGCGCGATTAGACGCACGACACATACCCAACGTCTGTACTGCAAATCGGGTGCGAAATCAATTGCCCGAGTACAATACGCGGGGGTATCTCGAGCAAGTCTTCACGTCCCAGGACCAAATCCATCATTCTGATCCCTCCAGAATAAAAAGAAACATCAACATCGAGAGTTCAAACCAGAAGATCGATGAAATATTATCAGAAATTATGATTAGAAATGTAATAGCGGTTTAATGCTTGTCTTATTAACCAATAAATTTAACAGAATTTTGTTAACATGTGCCCTAGAGGCAAATGTCAAACATCCCAGTAAGAAAATTTATCATTTTTTAATGAACTATCGTTCTCGTGTAATGTGTAATCTGTGTATAAAAAGTGAACGTTCTTCCTTATTAGCAGGGACACGACCCGATCCAAGATTGAATGCTCTTTTTCTTAAACAATGGTGAATCATCTAAGATCTGGGTCTTTCTTTTCCTTGGTCAGAACGTAAGATCTGGTTGAAGGTTGAGTATATTGACCCAGAACATGGATGGTTTGCCCCTTTCTTGTCTTCTGTCGAAGGTTGAGATCCCAGATTTTGTTTTTCTGGAAAATTGAGAATTGCCTGACGTGGTCAATTTGTGCCGACTCTTGGCTTAAGCCCTGTTTGCCAAATCCAAGTTGAGAATCTTTCTTTATCTTAAAAATTTAGCAGAAAAATATATGCAATTGCGCAGTTTGGGTACTATAACAACACGAAGGCCTTACGCACGTGCGGTGGCTGCGCCAGAGCTAGCCACAACAGCGGCCGTCGCGTTCGATTCCCCAACGTCAGCCCAACACGGCGGCTCTGCAGACACCCATCAGGGCCACGTGTCTCTTTCTTTGGTGGCTTCGCTTGGCCTACTTAAGGGCGCGAATGGTAGCCATTCTGCTCCAGAAATCAAATTCTTGCCAGAAATTGATTTCCGGAATTCTTGCCAGAAATTGATTTTTGGAGGAGAAATCTGTTTGATAAAACATGACTAATTCTGCTCCAGAAATTGATTTCTGGAACAGAAATCCATTTTGATTTGTTGATTTTTTTTACACCTAAAAAAATTTAAATTTCACTCAAAGTGGGTGGTCACAGGTATTCTAAGACATTCTGTGAAGTTTTAAAATTTTTTATTTTTTTGGGCACCTCAAGAAAAATAAATTTCACTCAGAGTGGGTGCTCAAAGGTATTCTAAGCCATTTTGTAAAGTTTTGAAATTTTTGATTTTTTGATTTTTTTGGGCACCTCAAAAAAATTAAATTTCACTCAAAGTGGGTGCCCAAAGGTATTCTAAACCATTTTGTGAAGTTTTGAAATTTTTGATTTTTTTGGGTACCTCAAAAAAATTAAATTGCACTCAAAGTGGGTGCCCAAAGGTATTCTAAGCCATTCTATGAAGTGTTGAAATTTTTGATTTTTTTATATTTTTTGAAAAAAATTCACCAAATTTCCTATTTTCCCGAAATCTGACTTTTTTTTATTTTCTGGAAATTTTTATGAATTTTTCTGGAATTTTTCAATTTTTATGCATTTTCTGAAAAAAAAAATTATTGAGATCTCAAAATGTGTTGTAAAGGCCACGAAAAAGAGAGAAAATAAGAAGAATGCATTATGGAAGAGAGAAGTTACAAAAAGTAGCTTCTCTTTTTCTTGCCCAAAACTCATTCCGGAATAAAAAATGCATTCTGGAATCACAAAATTTTTAACAAACGCATTTTTATTCCAGAATACAAAAATTGCTCCAAAATGCATTCCGGAAATTTTTTAACAAACGCATTTCTGTTCCGGAATGCATTCTGGAGCAGAATTTCTACTCCAGAATGGATTCCATGCGCGCCCTAAAAGGGCCGAAAAAAACACGGGAACATTTATAATTTTTTTTAAAAAAAATCGAAAAATAATTATCCACGTCAGTGCCGACCGTGTCAAGAAAGACGGTTGACATCCACGTCAGCAATTGTCAGCCAAAAATTGGCCGGGATGATTACATTGGTAAAAAACCGTCAAAAAATTTAGAATCAAATTGGTTGAATTAAAAAATTTATGACTAAAGTGATATCCGTATAATAAATTTATGACTTTTTTATTATAATTATCTATAAAAATACATTCAAGAACATGCCCTTTTTCATACTTTGACATGGACAAATTGACAATCCCTTAAACCCAATCCATCGAGTTTAGCAACCCCCACAAGAAACATGTTCACGGATAGTCACTATTCCCCTTTGCTGGAGAAACTTCATCCCAAGTCGAAGGAGCTTCCTCCATGATTCAGTTTCCAAATCTCATCTTAAACTCGAATTTCGCGATTAATCAAATGAGTAGGTTCCATAATCAATGACACAATCCTTCGCCCCCCGTTAGGTCTTGCCCTAATTTCCAATAAATTTATGTCGCGACAATTGATTTTGTGGGGGAGTTTGCTTACGTGATGCAAACGATGTTGTCCTTATTGCCCAAGCAAACGCCCGAACGGATTAGATAGGAATTATGGGAGTTTAGTCAAACGATTGTTTAGATTAGTGCCTCTTAATTTACTCTCTATTCATGCTTGTGCTTGCTGATATTATTCGCTAGCATTACTAGAGCAGACGCTAGCTATGACGCACCCCCGATTTGATTTATTTTCCCTTCTAAAATAATTCCCCACTAGGCGTGGCATGATTTAAACATGACATGAGATTTTTCATCTTCTGCATCATTATCTTTAGGTCCGCACGACATGGTAGATGGCGCTATTCGCCCCACCTCCAAATATTCAAATTTTCTCATCAATATCATCATTTGAATTGGCTCTTCCACTAATTAAAGCACGAGATGGATCGGGGCGCGATATAATCATAGACACAAATTATCGGCACAGATCGCCCGCTTCGAAACAAGAAGATCTTGTGGTTGTGCACAGTACATAATTTATGGTAATTCTACTAACCCCGTAAAAAGAAAGCAATGGAGCATGGAACTCGTATTTACACATGTTGTTCGGGCCGAACAATGAGAATATATCAAAGTCATGACTTTGGTGTTAATCTCTTTTAGGGGTTAAATCTCTTTTTTGCAAAAAGACGAAGATTAGGATAAGATAAGATATGGTTTTAAGACGTGGAAGTGATGGCCGTTGTTTCGGTTCGTGGGTCTTTCGGCGAAATCCTTTTTTGCCACGGCATGAAAGTCTAGGTTTGTCCTTTTAATCTTTCCATCAAAGGCAGGGAAATTAGATAAGGAAGGACTTAGTTTAAAGAAAAAGCATGTAACCCCAATGAAATAAAAGATGCTTTACTTGCTCCCAAATGCATACAAGAAGTTAAACCTAAGGACCCATTTCATTTGCCTAACCTTTTGTTTCTTATCCACTCCTACGTATGATCTCGTAAGGAGGTTGACCTTTAGGCTAGAGAGGAGGAGCTACACTAGAATTTGAGCTTCTCTTATTAGCAAATAAAATATTGAACAATGCTCTGTTTGTTTCGCGAAAAATAAATGATTTAGAAAATATTTTCATGAAAAACGATCATTTGTATCACTTGAAATAATTAGTCAATGAAAAATATTATCATCGTCGACAATTTTTGTCTTTACATTTTCATTTACTCATTTTTGTAAGCGATACAAAGGGTCATTTTCAGAAAAATATTTTCCAAGTCATCGATTTTCCACGAGATAAACGAAGCTTATAGGATGGCTTTGTTCGGTGCTTCACATGATTTGAACATATTTTATCGGGGATACAAAAGTCATCTTATATCAACTTAAGCACAAAAACCCTAGATCGTCGTAGAAGCAGTCTATAAAGTAAAAACTAGAAAAATCACGAAAGGCAAACCCTAGCATCTCATGGAGCCAAAATTACCCTGGGATGTTCGACCCAAATCGCCCGTTACCAATATGTGGATTTGACTCGTTGGTATCCAAAACGAATATCCGTTCTGAAACCCTAATTCTTCGAATCATAGTAAATGACAATGGCAAAGTGATTTTACATATTAAGGCTCCGTTTGTTTTGAGAAAAATAAAATAAAAATGATCGTTTATATCACTTACAAAAATGAACAAACGAAAAAAGTTTTCGTCGTCCACGAAAATATTCAGATGTAAATTGTTATTGGTAATGAAAACGTTATTCATTGATTGTGATTCCAAACAATATAAGCGATCATTTTTAGGAAAATATTTTTTAAATCATTTATTTCTCGTTAAATAAACAAAGCCTAATAGTTTGAAAGGGATACCAAAGGGATTCTACATTACCTCAAGTACAACAACTTAGTTTGCCATTTCACGAGAGGTTCTGGGTTCAAACTCGCTCATTGGTGATTTAAGTTGAGGGTCGTGGTGGTGGGATGCTGCGCTAACCCCCCTCGAGGACTAGTCGGGCATCACCGCTGGTTTGAGCCCTAGCTCGCCGGCCGCGCGGACACCTCGGTTATCAAAAAAATAAAAATAAAAACAACTTAGTTTGCACTTAAAGGCAGTCTGAATTTGTAAAATCTAGACCCCAAAAACAAAAGCAAAACTTTAGTGTCCTCTCATAAGCATGATTTACTCCAGGTCACATCCCCTATTGTCCTGTAAAGCTGCTGATCCTTTTCAATTTGCTCCCTCGATTGAATTTGGCCCCACTGATGCTAGCCGCATCTTCTTCCCATCTCACTCATTCCAATTCAGTTTCTCGACCCCCGATGTTAACTAACACGAATCTCTCCCCTTTTTCGCTAACTAACAGCGAATCTGACCACAATCCTGCACAAATTATTCTTCTTTATCGGGGGAAATTCGACAAATACGAAGTTGAACCTAACCAAAACAAACGAAGAGGAAAAGAAAATGGTCGACGGGCGACTTAAGACATGGATGGGAATGATACGACGAGACAAAGATGCATGTGATCACATGATTCGAACCTGTCGGTTCCACCATCCTCGCTTTGATTGATTCTTGCTTATTTTTAAGCTTTCTTGGTCGCTCGGGTTCACGCATTGTCGCAGTGATCTGTTGGGCATGGAAATGCATTTGTGTGGCTCCGAAGCATGCTTTGTTTATATGGGACTAGGCCACACCTAATCGATGACGAAGTAGCCGAGATAAAAAGACAAATCGTTTACCAACTTTTGGTCGCGGTTTTGACCCCGAAGAGAGTAGACTTAGTGACGAGGAGGGCTAGAATTATTGGTTTATGATAATTGGGGTTTCTCTTCACACCAAAGCTCCAAGTTCATTTTATCGAAAAATGGAACTCCAAGTTCAAGAAAACGTGCCTCGAGCTTTCTTCCCATGTGATGGTCGTTAAGGAGAAGAAGAAGCAATCGAAATATCGGAAAGTCGTGCCGTATTTTAGAAAAATCGAGGAAGAGGATATGGGAAAAGCAAAGTGTAGCAATTCGGGTTGAAACCCTTCTTTGGTCCTCTGGATATTACAAGAATAACTAGAACCGACACGAACTACGGGCGTGCGAACTGTTGAATGAAAAGGTAGGCAACCATCTTGCCAATGGTTTTTTGGACTTTATTTTTGGCATCAAGGACAAACTTACTTTCCGACTACATAGCTATAGATTCTTGATGTTTCTTACATGTATGTTGGTCATAATTGTGTGCATAGGTGGACCAAGCTTGCTTGCGAACCCCGGTACAAATCAAATCATGTAACTATGAATTCCCCAATTATTCTGACCAAAGAAAAAAAAATGCCCAATTACAACAAAATTGGATATAAACATGATGAACAAGCCATTGATGTAGCTTTCCTCGACGACATTGATGCTCCAAGAAATGGTTGAGATCACCATCAATCATTATCATAGGAAATTATCAAAAAAGTCCTAAATCAATTTGTGTCAATTTAGTCCTAAGCCTTTGAAATTGGCCAATTTGGTCATAAATCTTTTGACGATTTTCCAATGTAGTCCTCTCGACCAATTTTGGCTGGAAATCAATAATGACGTGAACAATTTTTGTGATTTTTTTAAAGAATTTTCTATATTTTCTTTTGTCCTTTTTTTTTCACTATGGCCAGCCAGGCCCCAACGACCCTCGCCAGCCACAGTGGAAAAAAGAAGAGAAAATAAAGCATAAATATAATTTAGAAAGAAATTTAAATTGCATCAATTGTCCACGTCAGTGCCGGCCGTTTCGCGCAAGACGGCCGACGTTCACATCAAGCGATTCTCAGCCAAAAAATTAACCGGAAGGACTAAAATTGGCAAGCCGTAAAAAAGGTTCGAGACCAAATTAGCCCAATTATGACTTTTTTTTTAGGTAATTATCCCATCATTAATAAGTCCCCAAGAAACTAACGCACTACATAATTGCATTGCACCCAGCCATTCCAATCCAATTCCTTAAATGCTAAGAAGAATACCCCGGGTCTCTTCATGGGTTTCCCAGGAATGGACGAAAGCACCATCCTGCTCGTGACAATTGAAGCATTGCACGCGGTGCGAAAAGAACTTTCTTCCTTCGACCTTCTCCGTCCTCTCGAACTTCCGACGTGTGGTGATTTCCTCTCCGAAACGATACGCTTTTTCAGAAGAAAGTCGCTGATTTTTCGCCCTTTAGCATCGTGGAATTCCCTCCCGCCAAATCGTGTGAGAACGGAGAAAAGAGCTCTTCCGTTCAAGTCAAAACCACCTTTGCATCTTTGCATCTTTTCTTCTTTTTTATGTGTATGAACCATGTTCACATTAAAAGAAAAAAAAAAAGCCCTTTTTTGCGGCGCCAATAATGTGAAAAACCGCAAAGAGTAATCGTATTTTAAATGATTAATATTATGAAAAACTCCAAATTGGTACATTTATGATAAATTTACCCAAAACTGATTTTTTTATCACGAAAAACCTCAAACTAGTACATCTGTGATAATTTTACTCAAAATTAATTTTTTGACCATCAAAAGTCCAAAACCAATACACCTATAATAAATTTACCCTCCGTTAGTTTTCGTTAAATTGATTTATTACCACGAAAAATTACAAATTAGTACACATGTGATAAATAAAGGGTAAAATCTCAAATCGGTACACTCCTTAACTGTTACGTGCTGTTCAGCTCGGTAATTTGTCACGATTATATCACTTTAGGATTTCGAAATAAATTTATAAAAAGCGTATCAGGTTGTGATTTTTCGTGGTATTAATTTACTTTTAAAAAGAGTGGGAAAGAGCGAGTGGACACAATCTTCTAGGTTTGATGAGATTCTCATATGTCGTTCCCCCTGTCTCCCCTCCTGCTTTTTGAAACGTATCGTTATTGCCGTTAATCTCTAGAGAGGGAGGGAGAGAGAGAGAGGGACCCTTCGTTTTGACCGGTAACTTGCGTGCGGGTGCAACGCCACTCGCTTATAATTGTCGTCACCCTCTCTCTCCCTCCCTCCCTCCCTCCCCCAGCCCACCAGGACGAGTCCCAGTCAAAATATCGCACCTTTCGAGCTCCTTCCTCCTCCTCCCTCTTCTCCCTCCCCTGCTTCTCTTTCCTTTTAAGCCTCTCTTCGCTTCGCGTTTGCTCCTCAAGTTTGCTTCTCCACGCAGCTGACAGTTCCTTCCTCACCTCCCCCAAGGCCTATACCCCCAGCTTCGTGTATTTCATCGAGCGCGCACACGGACGGGAGGAGGAGCTCCGACACAGCAGCAGCCGAGTATTTCCGAGGAAATTCAACTGGGTCGGTCCTGTTTTTTCGGTTTCTGGTGGCAAAGAAATGATGGGGTTCTCGTCCAAGGAGGAGCGGTCGAGGAGGGTGCTGCGAGGCGTGAAGACGGTCTTCTTCCTGATCACCATGCTCGTCTCCCTCCTCCTCTTCTCCGCCCCGATCCTGCTGGTCATCGCCGACACGCTCCTGCCGTCGGCCCTGCTCTCTGCTTCGCTCTCCCCCTCTTCGCAGTCCCTGCAGGACAAGCTCGCCGCCCACTTCGCCGACTACGATTTCCGATACTCCCTCGTCGATATCCCCCTCGTATCCATCGTCAGATCGGCTATTATCATCTGTAAGTGCGCCGAGTCCTCGTCGTTAGAACGTGAATTAGCTCGATGGGTCGGCACGGAGGCCCACCCATTTGTGGAAAAGCTTCGTCTTTTTCCTTTACCAAAAAAAAAGGCACATTTTTTGGCCATCGCTTTGTGCTGTTCTGTGAATTGGGTGTTCGAATCTACTGAAAAATATTCGAGTTTCTGATTTTTTTTTAGTTTTGGGGGGTTACTGTAGGTGTGTACAGTCTGTGTGATGGACCGAGGCTTTCAAGAGGGCCGTACTTGGGGATAACGACCGTTTGCTCACTGCTGTCCCTGGCGTTCGTCTCGTTGAAGGCGTCTTATGTGTTCAGCGTTCCGAACACGAGCAGGGGAGGATACGGCAGAGCTTTGGAAATGGCTCTCTTCATGTCTTCTTGGCTTCTGGCGATTGGTCATATCGTTGTGGCGTATAAGATCAGCTGCCGAGAGAGAAGAAAGCTTCTCGTTTACAAGATTGACATCGAAGCTGTAAGTATCTCTCTCTTCGATTTTTTGCACTCTAGAAAAGGAATCATATCTTTTTATTAGTTGGAACAATAACATTTGAACTTGGGATTCTGTACGAATGAAAAATCCTTTGGTAGATCAGACTGGGAAGGCGAGGGAAACTTCTGACGCCGTAAATGGAAAATGAGAAGGATAAAAGGGAAGAAAAAGATCACGTCTTTTTGCTTAGGGTCGAAGAATTGAAATGAGTTCATCTAGAAGGTCAAAACTGCCGAGTAGGCTGGGCTAAACGTTGCCCCAGTCTTTTAAACCTTTTTTAGTCTCGCACTGTATGCCTGTCATGATCCCTCCTTGTCCTTTTCTAAGTAAAAAGTCCCCATCACATGTAAATCGATTCAACATCGGTTGTGAAGAAAAAAAACAATTGATTATTCTAGCCTGCGGGAAATTTCGTTGGAGTCCTAATTTCAAGCGAAGGCTGACGCATGTGAAGGAAAGCATTGCACATGTTTGGAGGTTAACCATGTCTCTGGCCCAAAGGTTTATACATAAAAAAAAAAGGAAGAAATGATACTCATGACTCAACAGTCCATGAGGTAAAAGTCATAGAGTCACTCTGCCAAAAAAAAGGGTTGGTGAAGCTTAGGTTATCTTTTTTCTGGCCCAAAAAAGTATAGGTAATCTTTTAATCTGAGCTATGGTCCCCCAATTACTGACCAAATTCATGTATCGACTCAATAGTCTCATAGAATTAGGGATGGGCGGGGCAGGGCAGGTTAGCTCAGCCGCCCTTCATAATGTGTGTGTGTGTGTGTGAGAGAGAGAGAGAGAGAGAGAGAGAATATGTTGCTCTGGATTGGACTATGTTTGGTTGCCATTTGCAAATTTTTGCAACTGACAGCCACAACTTATCAACAAGAATATATGCCTACTCATGTTCATGTAGATCCAGCGCATCTTTGTGCTACTGCATGTGCACTCTCTTTCTCAATAATATTCCTCTGTTTCTTCTGATCAGAGGAGATAACATTATTATTCACCAGATTTTGTTCGTTCCTCACCTAATTCATAAAATAGACACGGTCCCTATTTGATCGCCCGCAGTGCCGGACCACTTCCTCATAACCAATTTCGAACATTAGGAAGCTAGTTTGGCTTCTGCCTTCTGCAATAATAGCTATTGTACTGGAAAAAATGACGCGGTCCTGGTCTAAATTCAACGATTAATGTTATCCCCACTTTTCTAACATATGCTTCATGTTCTTCACAATGTTCACATCCATTTGAGAATTCAGATTCTTGCTAGTGCTGTGACCCACGAATGGCCCCCTCTGCAGCTATATCTCTAAGCTGTGCGGAGGGCCTGCCAACTGATAAAACCCCCATTTCATAGCTGGCCACTGCTCTGTCCTGATCTATTCTATGGACTAATTCTCGACTTTATAGAATGATCGAAATTTGAATACATCCACTACTAGATGGTCAGTGCCATTCCCGCACATCATTGCCACCAGGAAATTGGAAGTGGGGAAATTATTAATCTATTTGTGTCATGCCTGCAGGTCTCGGCATGCAAGAATGGCTTCCCCAGATATCAGAAGATTCTCCAAGAACAGAGAGAGAAATGAGAAAGAAAGCATTAAAAAAAAGGTGGTGGGTGGGAAATTTGACAGGAGGAGGAGGAGACTAACGCACACCCAACTTCTAATTTTCTCCCGTTTGGCTCATCACGTTCGTCAGGATCGGGTTTCTGGCAACTGTCCATCTGAACGAGAACGTTGACAATTAGGTCCGCAGAACAAAAATGGTAAACATCGTAATGAATGGCGGACGACTACGGATGGAGGGGAGAGTCTCACGAGGCGGCGTTTGATTTTGGTGCGGATGAATCCGAGAGGAAGTCGGATACTGACTCTGAAGGAGTCAAAATTAACAGGCGAGGCTGCAGACATTAGTGAAAATGACTCGGACGACCCACATGCTATGCACCACACATCGTGCGTCATCATCAGTCATTGTTAGAGATCATAGATTTTTATTTTGTTCTTTGTTTTCTCGGTCCCAATCAAATGTAAAGTTTGTATACATTTTCAAAGGTGGAAGGGCTAAAAATATCAGTCCTGATTTCTTTGTTATCTTCTCGATCTTATGCGTTAGAAGGTGATCTGCCAACACGAACATCAATTTTTTTTTTCGGTCATAAGGAAATTTTTCGTTTCACACGAAAGAGAAATACATAACTTCAAGATAAAATCGGTGCAAATCTGAAAATAAATCGACTTGGTATAGCCTGTAGAAACTTTCTCGTTCCGTAAGAATGGATTTATCATAGCATTATAGCACAATCGGCGGCTGATCAGTGAAACTCGCATCATTATTAGTGATGAGCGCACGCCGAAATTTCTCCATTTAGTAGCTACGGTTTTGCCAAAAGGCGGTTTGCGCTTATGTTCGACATCCCCAGCACCATCATCGTATCGTATAGAGACAACAACACCACCAATAAGTTGAAAGAGCACAAATAAGTTGAAATAACGTTTTGTAAATCCCATAGCCATATCTAGACCGGGATAAAAGAGCACCCTAAATCGGACAGAAGAGCTGTAACGCAGATACCAGTTGATCACAAAAACACTTTCAAATAAGCTCACCGTTGAACACAGTAAGAGAGGAGTTTCGGAGACTTGTGCAACACTTGACTTTTACGGAAAGCGAGTGAACAGATTCTTCCAAGACGCTCGCGCTTCGATCTTCAAAGCTCATAGGAGCAAAACTCTCCACTTCCGTTGAGAAAGTCGACATGACGTCCGTGAAATCACCGAAGAAATCTTGAAGGATTCTTGAAAATGAATAGAGAGGGAGAGGGAGAGGGATTCGCCCAGGAACGATCTTCAGAGAAGGGGGGCTCTGACATGAACATCAATTGAATTAGCAGAGAAGGATGAAAACACTTTTACTGGCGACTTGAACTTTTCTAAAATGTTAAAACCATATCTTCGGGCTCCCGAATGCTTCGACGAATTGATGTCCCGTACGATCTTCATTCACGTGCACGAACACTAGGGAGACTCGGAGACGGGAAACATCACAAGGAACATTTTGCATCGGTCGCGAAGAATCACAAAAAAAAAGAACCACAATTGAGGAGTGCATTGCCGATGCTTAAGTAGAGTATTCAATTCTATATGTGCAAAAGAATTGCGAGATTCTGAAAATACAAGGACGTTCAGGCAAATGGGGCTTGCACAAGGCCGCAAAAGATTTTTTTTTGGCTGCATATGTACATATACTTCAGCAGATGATCCCATTTCCCCTCCCTGATGTTCAACCCCAGTTTATTAGCCAAAACTGTGCCCTACTAATCAATCGATTCAACCGCCGAAGTAGTTTGCCGATTCTTATATTTTACAAGGGTATGTTCCGCCTCTGGAGATTGATGGGATATCGCTTCTGCATCCGGGTGGTCGGGAAGAACACCAGCTTATCTTCCTCAGCTGTGGCCCAACTGCAAAATTTCGAAGCTATGTTGATATAACATTCGTAAAACACCGACTCATAATAAGTTGCGAACTTTTCGTGGACAAGGGCGAAAGACAATGATCTGGTAGTTGTTATGGCACCTGAAACTAGTGACTAGGTGGTGAAGGAAGACAGCGATTTCTACTCTCGCGAGTTCGTATCCCGGGCACAGCCTCGGCCCTCCTCCAAACGGTGTGTAGACATTGACCGCGCTGCTCGACGCCGCGTTACTCTGTTCATCACATAGATAAAATTCACGGTTGCCGTTTTGAATATACGAGATTTTGAAAGTTCCTGTAGACGCATCCAAAGGAAGGGGTCAACTACCTGCCACCGCCAAGGATTGAAAGTGCGAGCTTCTTTGAAGTATTCGTGGTCTAGATGAACAGCCCTAAACGAAGCAAAGACCTTCCACCCCTTTGGAATCGTATAACCTGCTTGAATTGGATAGCCATTCGAGGTCTTTAGCTAATCGGAACTGATGCAAACTATGCTCCAGCCAGATCATCGAAAGAAAGTAGAAATTTTTCGCCTAACCAAATCGATTACCTTTTATTTGGACGTCAGTCATCGTCCGTCGGAATACCCCACTGATAATGTTTGCGACTCGCAGTGTCTCGTTGATCACCTGAACGTGGAAGAGAGGCCAGGGTTAGGATCAGAAGTTTCAGAATGTCCATCAGAAAAACACGTATACATAACCAAACTTCATGGGAATGAATGAGGATTTTTTTACTTACACACTGTGTGAAAGGCATGGACTTGTAATCATTCCACTCTAACCCCTCGGATCGATTCTTATTTGCCCTGATTTTCTCGTGCTCTTCCTGTCAAACAAGAGACAGATACAACTTATTGGAGTCACACAGACAAACATACGAATCAAGATGTAACTATATATCAATCTAAAGCTATCTTTGGTTACTAGTTGAGACTTCTAACGCATAAGATCGGTTTCGAGAATAGAAAATGAAACAGTTGATAATTCGACTTCTAACGCATAAGCTGTCTTTGGTTACTAGTTGAGAGCAGGTTAAGGACATAGATCACGGATAGGCGTTAGGTAATGGGCTGTCTGTAACTTGTGATGAGCGAGCATCTGTGCATTTTCTTTTCCCTAGACATAAAAAGGGTAGGCAAAAGTGCACAATCTCTCATATCAGCAATTTCTCTCACTAGCTCAAAACAACCTAATAAATTCCTATGTGATTTCAGTGCCATCATTCCTGTCAAATTTTCCAAAGAACACTACCCCACTCCATAATCATCATTCATAATCATAGATCAGCGCCGGAGCTGTAATTTCACACGGCCGAACCCCACTTAACGGAGAAAAGCTCGCTTGCACCAAGGGTCACATAGTCACGTGCATCGTGTTCACGCAATGCAATGATCTTTGCATTTCACAACCAAAACGGCCTAAATTCGACGGCCTTGGTTTGAGGGTGACTTTGTCATTTTGAAAGCCCACATAAAGGCCTCATCTAAATGGTAAGGACAAGGGAGGTCCCCGACGCCGGTCGCCCTTCCCCTCTCGTTTTTGCTCATCAAAAAAGCGATAGGCTAAGTCTGTTCAAAAAGAAGAAAAGATAAAAAGGAACAACAAAAACTCAAAAGAACCAAATAGAATAATCAAAATCTGACTCGACGAAAATACTGCAGAGGGCGTGCAGTTCAGGAGGCCTCATTTGTCGTAGTGGTACTCCCCAAGTCCCAAGCCATGATGAATCAAGGACATCATTTTCTGCTTTCATGATTACACGCTCCATACCTTTTCTGCTATTCAATGCGTTTTGATACTTTCCTGGCCCTATACATGCCTTTCGATTCTTGCAACAACTTAAATTTACTAACTTTGATCGATAGATGTTGTGTTCATGTGCGCAAAAACCAGGATTTTTAAGCTTTTAAAAGGCACTTTTTGGCAACCTCAACTTTCGGGGCCGTCCTTGGACACACGCAAGAATCATTGCAAAGAAGCCGACGAGTGGACGGCCCATAAAAGCAAATGTGGGTCATGATTAATCTAATCCCACTACGGTGGAGAAAAAATTCGATACCTTGAGTTGGGCCAAGGCGAGAGGCGTCTCGGTGAGGAACTTGACGGCGAGGGTCATGATCGTCGAGGTGGTCTCGTAGCCGGCGACGAGCAGAGCCACCAGGAAGTCCACGATCTCCTCGTCGGAGAATCCGCCGTCCCCAGCCAGCAGAGCCCCCAGCATGTCCTCCTTCTCGGCGCCGGTCTCGCGCTCTTTCCTCCTCCACCTCACCACCAGAGTCAGTGCCTCCGCCACTTTCGTCCTTGCCTAAGAAAAAGATCCCAAGAAAATTGACAGATTACTAAGCCAAATTTCCCGAAACTTAGCTCCTCTGCTGGATTTGCTTCATGGGTTGAGTTCAAGAACCCATGGCTGACAATGACAAAACTAAGCACCACTAAACCGGAAAATTCTTTGGTCGGTTTGCTTCATGGGATTTGGTCATCTTTGTCAGTTTGAGGGGGATGTGACATATTTACTTGAGATTTTTTGCTGTTTATTGGGAAAAAATCTGACGCTTAAGCAATGAGACCTGCTTAATTTGGTGCAAACAGTCCAGCAGATCACACCACTGTTTCAAATTAGGGACGAAGTGTCATTTTCACACGTGCGCTTGCCATTTGGGTGCTTGCTTCATCCCTCGAATTCTCGTGCTGATTGGATGGAAAGAGAACAGAGAAGGTTTATGTTTGCTTCAAAATGAAATCTCAACGAAAGAACTTGAAGAAAGAAAGAAAGATTAAGAAATATATTCTTAAACATGGTCAAGCGGGATTATTCAATTAATACGTGAATGGACGGTACTAGACGTGTTGATACGATAATTCTAGAATAGAGAATGAAACATGCCGTGACAAAATCAACTTTATATATTCATGATCGTTGGTTGGAATAATATCGTTTTTTTTGTTATGAGAGATCAATTTTGAAAAGAATGCCAACTATTTGATGATTATGTATGACAATAGCAGCGACAAGATACCTTGATGGCGCGACGGTAGGTGGCGGAGAAGAGGGCAAAGGGGAGGGTGAAAAAGCCTTCGATGACGAGGACGTACTCCTTTCTCAAGCTTTCCGTCCAGTCTCCGGGATCATAACTCATCAGCTGCTTCACCGTCAGCTCAAACGTTATCTGCACACAATAATCATCTCACGCGATGATCTTTTAATCAGATTATTATGTCCCCCTCGAAAATCGCTTCAACTGATGCGTTGGGCCAACGACGAAAGAAATTCAATTATACGAACAGAAGATTCTCAAGAGGTTTCGTATGAATGAACTGGCCATGGTACCTCGTTTGAAATTATTATCTAATTTTGAAGTGAATGAATTACTGATATGTCGATGGAACGAGGAAGGTAAACAAGAGGCGAAAAGACCTTCTTGGCCTCCTCCATGAGCAAGATCCGGTCGGACCAGGAGTCGAGGTTGAGCCGGACCAGCCGGTCGATGTCGACCAGCAGGTGGTCCCTGATGATGGAGGAGTTGGCGAAGCTCATGGTGAGCGAGTGCATCCGCTTGTGCAGCCCGCCCGTCATGAGCAGCAGCGAGTGCTTCCCGAGCAGGTTCGCGATCGAGCCCGGGTAGCTGCACTCGAACAGCCGCCCCTCGTTCTGCAGGATGAACCGGTTCGTCTCCGGGTCGGCGGAGAAGACGGTAGGCTCGCCGAAGACGTGGGTGGTGAACAGGGTCCCGAACCGCCCCACCCGCTCGTCGATGAAGGGCTCCGGGTTCTCGGTCTTGTAGGCGGAGATGAGCTGGAGGGTCTCCCCGACGAGGGGCAGCCCGAGTGTCCCCGGCGGCAGGGGGAGACGCCGCCGCCGCCGCGAGGCGAGGAGGAGGGCGGCGGCGGCGGCGAGAGATGCCGAGAGGAGGGCAATGGCGATGAGGAGAGCCATGAAGGTCAAAGAGAACGATCCCAATGCAAAGTGAAGGATATGATGATATTGGCTCCTGTAACACAGAGAGAAAGAGAGAGAGAGAGAGAGAGAGACAGAGAAGTGTGTGTTGTGTATACAGACAGATGGTGTAGGTGCTGCTCTTATATGTGAATTTAGAGAGAGATTTAGAGAGAGAAAGAGAGAGAGATTTAGAGAGAGAGAGAGAGAGAGAGTTGAGCAGGAAGGATAGAAGGCAGGTCATTAATGGCGGATTTGCTATGATTTTGATCATCTCTCTCTTTTCTCTCTCGATCGATCGATCGACAAGACTACGTGTAAAACTGAAACCTAATAAAACGACAGATTATTTTCTGTCGGGGGTTTGCAAAAATGCAAATTCTTTTCTTTTCTTTCTCTTAACTTTCAACCAGGCCCCCTCTCTAACTTTCGAATTTCCTCTTCTTTTCTACTAAATCGCCCCCTCCCCCAAAAAAAAGAGAAAAAAAAAATTCACATATAATCACTCGAGAACACAAATACTCTTACTTTTCAAACGAATCCTAGAAGAAAAAATGTCACTTAACTAGGACGACAATATGTCCGCTATTGATATATTTTCGTAAATTTGTTTGGACAAACATTTTAACGATGAATATTTTTGTCTCTCGCTGACGTGGTCTAATGGTTTTATGAAAAGTCTTGGTAACGAATACTCTTAGGCTGCGTTTGGTCGACCGGATAAAAGTCATGATAGGATATGTTTTATCATATCCTGTGTTTGGTGGTGGTCCAGGATAGGATAAGGTCGGATATAGACCGAATATAGCCCGGATAAAAAAATCCGAGGGGAGGGGTGGGATAGACCTGGATATGATTTCTAATGTCTATTTTTTCAGAAACCCTACGCTCCACTCGCCGTCATCTTCATCCCCACACCTTGTGCGCTTTCACCAAAAAAATTTCTCGGCTTTTTTTCCTTCACCGACTCCTCCGGACCCGTGAATAGCCAAAAAAAAAAAAAAATTTATCCTATCCGACTTTAAATCCGTAGTCCACCAAACAGTGGATAGGATATGAAGAAATCCCAGGATTTCTTATCCTATCCTATCCAGTCCTATCCTGTTTAGAAATCCGGACGACCAAACGCAGCTTTAGATACTTGTCAAGTATATATTGATTAGAGACATTTCAATTTTTGCGAAAGCAGCTACAAATCATACGAAAAAGCGGTATCTTACGTATTGTGAAATTAATTAAAACACATTTGGACGCTGTCCTTTGAGGCTATTTCATCAGCCGCATCCTGTTTATGACCTTCTTAGAAGAGAGAGAGACATGAAAACGCATTTTTTTTCATTTTCAAATATTGAAATTTATATTAGTCGCCAAACTCCCAAGGTTTAAATTGCGACGATGCAATACCTAAATTTGAGGACTAAATTGCCTAACGCATTGCGGCTAAATATCGTTCATATCATGTTCGCATTCGTCCCTTTTTTGTGCATCACATGTCGCATATATGATTCTTTTTTTATCTTGCCAGAAAATAAGCAGGCTTGTTCATATCGCACGGTATACGTTCGGATTCATTATTTTGCATAATATGGAAGGGCATGCTACCCTTTTATATTTAATATCGTGACGGGAGTATGAACTGCACTAATCTAATAATTAAGTTGATCGGACTACTAATCGCATGTATAATTTTTTTCTGATCTTCCCTAAGAAAGAAGCAATGCTTTGTTCATATTGCATGGTGTATATGTTCACACTCATTGCTCATTTTGTATGTTTATGGAAGGGTGTATTATCCTCTTTAATCATAATCTAACTGATAATCAATTAATTAGGTTCAAGCAGCACTAAACAACGATTAGGCATGTGAGGTGCTGATCCAGCTACTAAGTACTCCAAATTTCATGATCACATTTCCTCATTTTTTTATTCATTTTTCTTGATTTTGGAAGGATCACGGGGTGAAGTTGGTGAAATAAAACAGAACAAAAGAAGTTTTTAGAGAAAATAAAAATGAAGAGGTATTTAATTATTTATTTATATTATATTTGTCCATTTTAGTGAATGAAGCGCGTATAATGATGAACAGCAATTTCTTTTTCGCACTTTCCATTCCTCTTTTGCCTCCTTTTTCGGCTTCTCTTTCCATCCTGCGAAGCACGTTCATCCTCATGTTGGGTCCACTCGATTCTAGAAGGAAGCATGAGCCGCTTTTTTTTTTTCTTCCGAAAAATATTTTGCAAACGGGATAAGTGCACCGGAAATCCTAAAATCTGTCATGAAAGTGCAGTCAATTCATAAAACTTTTAAAAAGTACAATCAGCTCCTAAAACTTATCAGGAAAGTGCAATCGAGTTCTAAAACTTTCAAAATGTACAATAAATAAAAGAACTTGATTGGACCAATTTGATAAGTTTTAGGACTCGATTGCACTTTTTAAAAGTTTTAGGACTCAACTGCACTTTGATGACAAGTTTTATGACTTAATTGCACATTTTGAAAATTTTAAGATTCGGTTGCACTTTCGTGACAAGTTTTAGGACTTTCAATGCACCTATACCATTTGCAAACTCTTTTATTGATACCCAAAGGCCATTTCTCTCTCTATTTTTTTTTTTTTAATTTTTGGGAAAAGAGTGAATAAATCTCATTTATAATTAGCTAATAAAGCTTCCCATCAATTAGATAGAATGAGGGAGGCTATCACTGTTCTTTCGGCTTCTATATCACTGTTGAAACAGCCTCTTGCCAAACACAACCCAATTTAAAAATATTTCTTCCCTTTTCCTCTTTTATCACAAACACTGGGAAATCATCGTTTCGTCAATGTTGATTTTACAATTCATCGATTCTAAAAGCTTAAATTGGCACAAAATAACATAGCTTATGTTTTATCGCGATAATCGTCATTTTGCCATGATTTATTTAAAGCACTCGAGCAAAATAATTTTCGACTTTTAATTTGATTAATTTTGATTTCCCCACTTGGTGTAAGAGGGGAAAAAAACAGAGAGGAAGAAAGTACACTTGCCGATTAATTTGTGATTAATTGGCAAATCATCATCAGCTCATGCAAAAACTAATCCATCAAATGCTTTATGCCGCGGTGGGTGAGTACCCACTTTGATAGGAAAGTGAAGAGTTAAGGGCTATAATCATCTCCACATGTCCCAGAATCATGAGTTAGCATGATATAGTCAATACACTTCTTTGTAAGAATTTTATTAAATAGTGCCCGCTAGGTATTTATTAAGAAAATTTTAAAGTGAGTTCGCAAATTTCCCACGCGTTTTTTTTTCTCGTGTTATGTGTAATCGGCACTTTAAAGATCGATATATTATATTTAAGTACGCTTAACAAGTGTGCAGAGGCATTCGTTAATCAGATGTAAATTTTAATTTTATTTTATTGGTGTTATCATAAGATGATGGGGCCATATTAAACCCCATGGGTCCCAATCCCATGAACGAAGGATGTTATTTAGCTTTCTGCCCCCCTAGGCAACCCTTAATTAGTGATCCCTAATTAAGAAATTAGGAAGTATCTCCCATACCTTTTATCATGTAATTCATCTTTAAGCAAGCTTTTTCTCGATTGATTAATCCTAATCATATCATTATCATCATGGTGCTGTGCCCACCCGCACAGCCCTAGTTCATTCATGTAGTAGAACAAGAAATATATATATTTAAATAATATTTAAGAGATATATATTAGACTAAAAAAACATTCTTATCCCCATTATTGACGTTAAATCAAACTGTCCCCTTTAAAGACACTTTTGACATCCTCCATGACATAAGCAATTAAGTTTATCTTTTCACTAAGCTTGTGAAATAATGGGGGTTAAGCTATTAAATTTATCTTTTCACTAAGCTTAATTTCAGAAAATGAGTGAATTACTACAACGCATATGAGATTTAAACAGCTTGATTATGACTTAGATGAGGGGCACAATATAGTGAATGCATAAGATGAGTCATTTTATGATTTGTGGCATTTAATCTCTCTCTTTATCTGGAAATTATCGTACGCGATAGTCATAGAGGAACAAACCAAACCAACCGCCTACATACATCGTGTGTTGTCACGGCGAAATATCTAAATTCCTAGAAATTGGCCAGGGGGTCAAATTCTTACCCTGTGAAACGTTATTCGATGCACGTGGAGGGCGATCGTGTATATCAAGAGGAATCGATCGAAAATCAGGATACCCACATTTATAAGGAATCACTCTTTCCTCAAATATCTGTAAAGTCGCCAAAGATCATTTCCTAATAATAAGAACGTGCCTTTTCCAAATTTTTGTTTTCAAAAAAAAAGGGGAAAATGGCTCTCTCCATTAAACTATAAAAGCAGAAATGAATGGGGGGAGAAAAGAACCATCATCACCCAATGGAAAATCAGCCTCGCACGTGTGATGTCCAAAAAAACTAATCTATTATGCTTAATGATGCGGGAGCGAAAATGGGAGATTTCGCGATTTTTCAGAAGTGACCCTAAGGTCCATAAAGCAATTCAAACCCTCTGCTTTTTGCCCTCTTAGAGGGTGGTGAAAGATGAGCTCCATTGACACATTAGCCTTTCCTTTGCTGCCTTTGTCTCCAATCGAGTGGCATTAGGACTTGAGCCTCTTTCAGATTCATCCCTCTTGCTTCTATATATTTCTTTCACACCCACAATAGCTAGACTTTGGCTTGCTTGCCATTATGTTTACAACCGCCCCAATTAATCAACTCAATCGACCCTTTTTCATGTTGACAAAGTGGCAGCCACGGTAAAATAAAAAAAGGGAAAAGAAGGAGAAGGAGAAGGAGAAGGAGAAGGAAAAGAGAGATGTCAAGTGTTACCCAAAGGTCACTGTGCACTGGCGTTTTAACTTTTGATTGAGAGGTGCTGCTTTCTTGCTTGCTAAAAGGGGGACATTGCTCTGTTTCTCTTCTCATGTCATGTATAATAGTCCACAGCCACTTAATATGATCTTATAAAGGGTAATTTTTCCGAGGAAAGATGATGCAGATGGTTCACTAACTTTGACTCAATGCGCAATGTGATTTTTAGATTTTTAATTTATTCAACGTGGTCCCTGAACTATTGGTAAATGTTCAATTTAGTCCCTAAATTATATGAAAATGTTCAATTGATTTCGTGAGCAGTAATTAGCAATATCTTAAAAGACCAAAACAGCGGCTACTTTCCGAAGGTTTCATATCGTAAAAGGACGTGATTTCACGAGGGTACCTAACACTTCCATGGATTCGGCCTCTTACCGTGTCTCGATATGCTTTCTCGCCGTAAAAGGCGAAGCGAAGTCGGACCCCTATGAATATGAGTGAAGACAACGGAAAGTGCACATTAACAACACAAATGATAAAAAGCAGATGAACAAAGCAAAGAGCTCAAGAGCATCAAAGCTTGTGGGGAAGCAAATATTCCAATCACTTCAAGAGGCTCCTTTGCACTGAGCTCATCAACCACAGAATGCAATTATTCAAACATATAATTATCAAAGATCGGCTCAGCTTTGACAGAAGTGGGATGCCAAAGAGAAGCAGCTGAGCTGGTCGAGGGGGTACGTGCTGTGGTAAGAAAAAGTCAATAAATCTTTCCTTAGAAATAGAGAAAAAGGAAACGAAAAGGTTCGAAAGCTGTGGTGTTGGTGACGGGGGATGATGATGGGCGAGGGCAAAGGCTGTCGTCCACTTGGGCGTGTCGCTCGCGACCGTGTGTGGCCATCGCTTTCTTGCCTTTTGAGGGACATGTTCCAGACATTTACACGTTTGGAATCATGGGTTTCCCACGGCCCATGATTCCTCACGTATACGCAACTGAACCATTTTTCTTTTCTTTCTCCTTTCCGTTGGATCGTACAGTTTGTCCCTTGCCGATTTTTCACCCGCCCCGGTTCTGCTCTTTACAGCCTAGCCATTATCATCCTCCGGGGGCAAGAAACTTCTCTTTTCTTAAGGCGAGTTCTATGCTCACAAATGAAAATGCATGTTCTACTCGTGTCGTCAACACACGGCGGGTCAAAGATATTTAGATTGCATTTGGTTTAACTTTTGCGAAGGGCTTTGGACCTCTAAAGTCCCTTGAATAAAAGTAGGGTCATTGAGGAGCATTGAGTGAAAGCTAATATTGACAAAGCTAAAGGCCTAAAGCAGATTAGTTTCGGCAATTTCGAAAAGCCATCTCCAAGGGTTTATTGATTCCCATCTTGCCACATTAAATTATAAAAATTCTAGTTCGATCCTTGCGTTACACACAATCTCTCTCCTCCCCCTCTCTTTTCCATTGCGCTATCTCTGGCAAGTTTGTGAACATGCCCATCTCTGCTGCTTGACTGCACCACCGCCATGCCAACGAGCCACCTGTGACAGCGTGCTCGTGCTCAACTAGCTAACTATACCAACTAGTCCCCTTCACCAATGAGCCCCCTTCGATCAATCGCCACACCAACAAGCCACTTGTGGTCATTGCCGACGCAATCGACCTCGATCTAGCGCCAAGTGAGCCCAAGATCTGAGATCTAGGACTTGGGTCAAGCGTGGCTGAATTCGAGACTTGATGGCACCGGCGACGCAAAGCGGAGGGTGAGTAGAGTGGAAGAAAGAGAAGGGGGAGGTGGCAGCGACATCGAAGCCCTCGCTTGAAGCACCTAGTTCTTGTTACTTCTCTTTTTTTCTCTCTCTTTTCTTATCCAAACGTTATTTGCATTCAGTAGATACACATTAAGTTAAAGATGTTGTTGGAAAATTGTGTTTGGAGGAAATGAAATCGGAATGTAGTCGAACTTTGAGGCGTGTAATCACTCTTTTTTAGGATCAATTTGCCCTACGAAGTTGCTATAAGTTACTGGCAAACTTCCTTTAGGATATAATAAAGTCACGGTAAGAATACTGAATAGCAATTCCAGTAATCTCCTAAAACTCTCTGCGAAACAATTGAGAAAATAGTTGTCTCGTTTTTCTTTTAAGGAAGACAAAAATGAAGGGAGTTCTGTTCATTTGTCAAATGAACATAGTTGTCCAATATATATAAGCAAATAGAACACACCTCTTGGTGTCTAACTGCCAATACAGACACACCCATTCATGTCCGAAAAATTACAATTCGGACATAACCCTTCGTGTCTGAAAAACCGTCATTTGGACACAACCGTTCATGTTTGAAAAGTTACGATTCAGACACAAACTCTTCGAGCATGAAAACTGCCCATTTTATGACATGCTTTTTGACATACCTTTTCATGTCGTAAAATGGACAGTTTTGTCCGAACAATCACAAGACAAGAAAAATAATAAATAAATTGTTGATTAAGGCTTATTTTGATCTGCGACGTGCATGCGTGCGTTAAAATCACACACCCACATGCGGGTATAGTGGAGTTTAGCACATTCACCCATTTTCTTCATTTACAATAAAGGATAATACCTTAACTTATAAATAGACAAAAACTTTCCTTTCTTTCCTATGTGGGATAAGAAAAATGCCTTATTTTTTTGTTTTACAAACAAACACCAACAGATGTTTGATAAAATGGCTTTGCATTTCCTCAAATCTCTCCCAAACACACCCTTACACCAGTGTGTATATATACGTTACAAAAGAGCTCATGTTCTACTGCTGTGATAAAATGTGAAGGAGCGTCATCGAGATACATGTTAAGTATACTTGATAAAAAATAGTTCAATCCATAAAATATTTGATTACACATGACATGGGAGCAGTTGGTGCATTTGCAAACATCGAGAACTTTCTGTTTTACTATCTAACAAATGTACCGAAGGCACTCGTCGACAAAACTCACGGGTATCACGATGCGTTTTGCTTTGAACAAGAGATGCTTCGCTTTCTAGGGCTAGACCAGTGGGCAGTGGCTTAGGGCCCGTTTGGTAACGTGCCAAATAGTGAAAATTTCTGTTCTTTTGTTCCCAGAAATAGTTTGGGAACAGAAATGCGTTTGGTAAATTTTTTGTTCCTTGGCACATTTTTGCAAAAATTTGTGCCGAGAAACGATTTTGGAAGAGAAACAAGAAGTAAAAAAGTTGCTTCTTGTTTCTGCACAATTTTGAGAATCAGTTTTTTTTTCTTTTCTTATTTTTGTGTTGTTCTGCCCTCATTTGGGCCTGCCGCCGGGTGACTCGCGACCGGCCACAGCCCAGGCCCGGCGAGGGCGTCACGGCCCGCCGCCGGCCGGCGGAGGCGAGGGTCGCCCTCGCCGGCGAGGGCGAGGGCTGGACCCTCGCCGCTTGGACGAGGCGGCCTCGCCCAGATCGAGCGAGGCCGAGCCTCGCCGTCCGTCGCGACGGCGAGGTCGGCCTCCCGAGAGATGGCGAGGCTCGGCCTCGCCTAGATCTGGCGAGCCGAGCCTCGCCGTCGCGACCCACGGCGAGCCGACCTCGCCGTGGGTCGCGACGGCGATGCTCGGCCTCGCCAGATCCGGGCGAGGCCGAGCCTCGCCGTCTCGGGCGAGGCGCCTCGCCTCGCCGACGAGGGCGACCCTCGCCTCCGCGGCGGCCGGCGAGGTCCGTGACGCCCTCGCCGGCCCTGGGCGTGGCCGGTCGCCGACGACCGGCCAAGGCCAAAGAAGAAAATAGAAAGAAAAAAAAATTAAACAATTCAAAATATTATTAAAATATTATTTGGGAACAGAAATTTTGTGTAGTTACCAAACGCATTTTGTTCTTTTCTACTCTAGGAATAGAAATTTTGGACAGTTTATCAAACGCCTTCAAATACTCGGAAATTGTTTTCGCAGTGAGAATAAAAAAATCATTTACGTTCGGAAATAGCCGGCACGAGAATGGTATTCATGCGCACCCTTAAGATCCAGAATAACAAGTCATATTGGTCCAATGTTAACGGTGGCCCAGCCACTCGCGCATAGAAACTCAATAAGGTTGGCCCTGGTCCGATTCTCAGCATCACCTCCTGCAAATTACCCATTTTATGTTTGGACCATTCGTGCAAGCTGATTACCAATTGGTCTTTCTCGTCATAACCATCAAGAATATAAACTACAGAAGAGTCGACTAGTTGTCTGCAATTGTGTTTATAACTCTGAACTTTCACTTAGCGTCCTCGAATTCGAACACTACAGCCAGAATCACTGGCCACAACACAGCAACATCTGAAGAATGTTTTTTTTTTTTTTTTTTTTTTTTTTGATCAGACATCTGAAGAATGTTCGATGTATGGTTGTCTTATCTCGCCGGCTATGTTCCTCATCCTCGGCCTCCATGAATGAGAGCCGATGCTCGGGCATCATGCATGGACGGACGAGGCTTGCTCAATACCTACCAGAAAGCGACGGCATCCTTAGTATATACTGTATAGGAATCAAGGGGCTCCACTGAATAAGGTGAAGCACCCATCAACCATCCAACCTTCCCCCACCTCCGGATAAGGCTAAGATAAGGCCCGACCCACTCGCATCCATTGATTTCTCTTTCGTTCCTTAGTTTCCACCAATTCCTTTTTTCAACCCAACCAAAACCATCCCCAATTAAAATAAAATAAAAAGAGTTGTAACTCCAAATAACCCACAAAGAACACAACAAAAACCACTTCTCTCTGCAATATTATTTATAAGATATAGTATCCACTGACTTGCCCCCAACACCATGGCTGCTGCCGCCGCCGCAACCTCCTCCTACTTCTTCGGTACTTGCATTGCCGACCCGAAGCCGAGCCTCGGGCGATTCCAAGCCCGGTTCAGCTTCAGAGCCAAGAAATCGCCTCCCCCAAAACCTGCCAAGAAAAGGTTGGATGGGGAACGGCTGGTCTGGTTCCCGGGGGCCGAACCGCCAGAGTGGCTCGACGGGACCATGGTAGGGGACCGGGGCTTCGACCCCTTTGGGTTGGGGAAGCCGGCGGAGTACCTGCAGTTCGAGCTGGACTCGCTGGACCAGAACCTGGCCAAGAACTTGGCTGGGGACGTGATCGGGGTGAGGGTCGATCCGTCCGAAGTGAAGCCGACCCCATTCCAGCCGTACAGCGAGGTGTTCGGGCTGCAGCGTTTCCGGGAGTGCGAGCTCATCCATGGGCGGTGGGCGATGCTGGGCACGCTCGGCGCGATCGCCGTGGAGGCGCTCACCGGGGTTGCATGGCAAGATGCTGGCAAGGTACGCTCCATATCCATATGGACCATCCATCATACACAATACAATTCTCTACGTACAGTGTCTTACAACAAAAAATCTACCACAAGTACAGCACAAGATGATAGAATCCCATGTGAAGAAATTATTGTTCAGTGGATTGTTCTTGAAATCTAATTTGGCTGGTTTGGCTGGTTAAGATGATAAAGAAATCGAAGTTCCTCAGCTCCCTTTTCTCTCCTTTTTACAAATCTTCTCATCATCGGTGTTAATCCGAGTATGAGGTATTGTAAGAATTATCGAATTCGACAGTTGAAGGTGGGAAACCTTAGTGGAAACCAGAAAACGAGGATACATGAAAATTACAAGATTATGTCGGGAAGATATTTTGGTACTCTTAACTCCGTAGGAAGTAAGATCCACACATTTAAAAAGTACGTGTTTCTGCTGTTTGTCCGTTCCTGCTGTCAACATTAACGTTGAAAAATGCGCGTGTTGTATCCTTTGGCTCGTCGTGGCTTCTTCTTTACCAAGCCAGTGCCTAGCTTTTGGTGATGATGGTGGGGCAAGAAATTAATTAGTGAGAAACTATTTCATATATATGTACACAGAAGTGGTATCCACTATTGCTATCCGGTGTTATCTATTGGAGTTTATAGAGCTATAGCCTAAAAACAAGGCTAAGGGAAGTTTGGTTATTTAGTGTAACACTTAAAACTGCGATTAACGTGCTTCTTTGTGTTATTATACAGTGTAAAAAGTTGCATGAAGTAAGTTCTTCGAGAGAGAGAGGAAAGAACCTCTCGAACTGCTCTTTTAGCTTTCTCTTTTCGATATAGTATAATCTCTAAGAGGGTTTGAATTGGTTGATGGAATATTTAAATATTGAACCACGCTTTCATCTAACAGTTTAAGTTTACGGCTTAAGCTTTTAGAACAATTGACAACAATCTCACAAAATTTTACAAAGACAATCTGTTTAGCGAGCTCCTTCACTTTTCCTCACTAAGTAAAATTTCACTAGTTAACCCCCCCACCCCCACCAAAAAAAAAAGACTAGTCCTAGCTGTTCCAAATTAAACCAGCATCGCAAACAACAAAAGATATTTAATAACGTGAGGATCATAAATAAACGACATGATACAATAATAATTTCATTCGCAATCAAAGGATATTCCGACCACATTTTCATAGTTACTTATAATGTTTGCTTAATTAACGAAATCCGAACTTATTTCTCAGGTGGAGCTCGTGGAGGGATCGTCCTACCTCGGCCTTCCGCTGCCATTCTCGCTGACGACCCTGATATGGATCGAGGTGATAGTGATCGGGTACATCGAGATCCAGAGGAACGCGGAGCTCGACCCAGAGAAGCGGCTCTACCCGGGCGGATACTTCGACCCGCTCGGCCTCGCCTCCGACCCAGCGAAGAAGGAGGACCTCCAGCTGGCCGAGATCAAGCACGCCCGCCTCGCCATGATTGCGTTCCTCATCTTCGGCCTCCAGGCCGCCTTCACCAGCAAAGGCCCGATCGCCTTTGTCGCCACCTTCAACAAATGAGCCCAACTCAACCACGGGACCCCACCACACCCGTCCTCTCCCCCAACTGAGCCCACCAACCTTGTGTCGTTCCTTGGCTTTCTTTTTGGTACGATGATCAAGTTGTAAAATGAACTGATTATGTTATTCCCGCTTAATTAGACATGTTATAAGGTGGTTAATCCCTGCTTAATTATTTAATAATCTTATTAATAGGTGTATTAAATTAAAAAATGGATCGATATGTTTTCTAGAAGTCCTACAACTTCTAATAAAAGTGCAATTGAGTTCTAAAACTTACAAAAAATGCAATCAAGTCTTAAAACTTGTTAAATTGATTCAATCAAGTCATACAGTTAACACCGTTTAATTAATTAATGGAAAACGCTGCCGTTCTCGCTAACGACCCTGATATGGATCGAGGTGATAGTGATCGGGTACATCAACATCCAGAGGAACGCGGAGCTCGATCCGGAGAAGCGGCTCTACCCGGGCGGATACTTCAACCCGCTCGGCCTCGCCTCCGACCCGGAGAAGGAGGAGGATCTCCAGCTGTCTGAGATCAAGCACGCCCGCCTCACGTTCCTCATCATTGGCCTCCAGGCTGCCTTCACCGGCAAAGGCCCGATAACGTTCGTCGCCACCTTCAACAAATGAGCCCAACTCGACCACGTCCTCCACGCCCGCCCATCCTCCTCCCCCCAAACTGAGCCCACCAACCAACCTTGTGTCCTTCCTTGGCTTTCTTTTTGGTACGACGATCAAGTTGCAAAATGAACTGATTATGTTATTCCCGCTTAATCAGACGTGTTACAAGGTGGTTAATCCCTGCTTAATTATTTAATAAGCATTGCCTTGCTTTCCACCCAGTCAACTCCGGCAAGCAGCCGCTTGAAAAGGTGTGCTTTTCGGGCTGTAAAACTTCTCCCAACCTTTGTTTAATTCAATCTAATCCCACTACTAATCATTAAATTAATCTCGGTAAACCACTTCTAATGATTCGTGACTTTCCTAAGTAGTCATCAAGCCAAGCCTCGTCATGCCAGTTGTTTCAACAGAGTCAGCTCCCCAGGTTTCTTCTTCTTGTTTGTTTTGCTTCCCTTGTTTACCCTTTCTTCATATTTTAATCTATTCTTACTGTATAAAGGTACATAAACATAGCAAATATACGAATTGAGGGTCTTGTTTTTCTTCCTTCTTTAGTTGAGAAATATCTTGAAAATCGAGAGAATCTTGTTAATGTTGCCCTCTGCATACCCTTGGAGGGAAATTTAAAGAATATCTTGAAAATTGAGAGAATCTTGTTAATGATGTCAATTTTTACAGATTTTTAAATTTTCTGAATTTTTTATAAACATTTTAATTTTTTTAAAATTTTATGATTTTTTCTTTTCTTTCGCCATTGGCCAATAGTCAAAGCAAAAGAAAGGAAAAAAAAGAAATAAAATATAAAATATAAAAATGAAAAGAATAAAAAATTTCAGATAATTTTTTAAAAAGGAAAAAAATTGTACATGTTAATGCTGCCTGTTCATGTCCATGTCAACAATTCTCGGCCAAAATTGAATAGAATGACTATATCGACAAATCGTTGAAAGGTTTAGTACCAAATTAGCCAAATTGATTCATGTCCATGTCAACAATTCTCGGCCAAAATTGAATAGAATGACTATATCGACAAATCGTTGAAAGGTTTAGTACCAAATTAGCCAAATTGAAAAACTTATAACTGAATTGGTATCCGTGCGAATAGGTTTAGGACTTTTTTGGTTTTTATCTCGTGTTGGACATTGATTTTACGTAAAAATGGTGAGAACATATATGGAGATATTTTCTTTTTCGTTTTCTTTTTGCAAATATATATGTAAAAGCCACAGTTCATTTTAAAGGAAGAACTTCCAATTTCCAAGAAAAGCTTGACTCCTTTTGGCTCAAATACTTGATATTGTGGTTTTTGAAGCTTCCAAATCATCTAATTTACTTATAATTATATTCATTTTGATTATATCAGTACTTGGAAAAGTTTAGAGCACAGATCGAAGGCCACGGTTCATTTTAAAGAAGAAACTTCCCATTCTATAAAAGTTTAACTCCTATTGAGTTAAATGCTTGATCTTGTGATTTTTGTAGCTTCCGAATAATCTAATTCTCTTATAAGTGTTCGAGATTCTATTAGTACTTGGTAATGTTTAGAGTACAAGTTCGGCGTCATAGTTCATTTTAAAGCAAGAATTTCTCATTTTAAGAAAGTTTGGCTCCTTTTGGCTCAGATGCTTGATTTTGTATTTTTTGGAGCTTCCAAATTATCTAATTTACTTATAATTGTATTCATCTTGATTCTATCAGTACTTGGAAAAATTTAAAGCACATATTGAAGGTCATGGTTCATTTTAAGGGTAGAACTTCCCATTCTATGAAAATTTAACTCCTTTTGAGTTAAATGCTTGATCTTGTGGGTTTTGAAGCTTCCGAATCATCTGATTCTCTTATAATTATGTTCAATTTGATTCTATTACTACTTCGTAATGTTTAGAGCACAAGTTCATGGCCATTGTTCATTCTAAAGGAAGAACTTCTCATTCTAAAAAAGTTTGGCCCTTTTTGGCTCAAATGCTTGATCATGTGGTTTTTAGAGCTTCCAAATAATCTAATTTACTTATAATTGTATTCATCTTGATTCTAATATATATTGATGCGTTTTCCGAAAGGGCCTTACTAAGATGATGAAAGATAGTAAAATAAAACCTAGTCACTTACTGAAATAATTCGAAAAGATTTTTGTTAATTAGATAACCGAAGAAACCAAAATTTGACGTGCTCCACATATCGACGTTTCTCTTGTTAGGTATTCATTGTCTTGATGAATTACTTCTTCTTTACTATGTTAATTAGACACCGGTGAACATGAACCCTTTGAAGAATGAGAAATGTAAATCAGTCCACATTGTTAAATCACATTTACTAAGCCTCATGCCTTAATAGTAAGTGCTCTCAAAGCACGTTTAGATGCTATCCTTTCAAATTGCACACCCCCCACTCTCAAAATCAAGAATGTTCACATTTCCAAATCCACAAGAACACAGCATGCATCAAAATGGCGAAAAACTTGCAGTCAAGGACCATTTGCAGGGCAATTTCTTGTCCTCTTTTCATTTATTTCCTTGTTGCAAGTACTTGAAAAACCTAATTTTCTATTTAGTGCAATAAATAGTCTTTATGGTCCAAAAGGGAAAGTCGGCAACCAAAGTTTGAATCCATGAAGCAGTACAAGAGAACGGAATCCACATTAAATTCATGAATAGCTCTCACCAAGATTCATGAGAGGTGTAGGTGTGGTGGTGGTGGGTGGTGGTCGCCGGCCACCGCCGATCCGCCAACATTCGACATTCATCCGACGGTGACCGATTTATTCCACAGTATTCAATTTCTGGTTTGGCCCCGTCGGTTTCTCCTATCAATTAACGGGCGAAATGAAGACTATACCCCATTAATGAAATCCCCATAAATGTCCTTTGCCCCCACAATATGGTTCGGTGTGGTTTTCAAGTTTGAAAACGAAGATCAGCATCTGGGCCCTACACGGGGTAACACTCGCTGAGCATAATACCCTTTCAGACTCGGAGGCACTGGTCGTTGACGGCCTTCCTCTTTGAATTTCCAAAGTCAAAGACACCGTGTTACCTGCCCCCTCTCCACGTGTGAAGTCGAATTGAAAAAGGACCCGAGTTCTTTTTCCTATGGTAGGACCGATTCCCGAATCTGTCCATTTTTATGAGGACCATGTGTGATCCATAGACACGCAAATCTCGAAAGAGGAGCCTCTGTTTTGATTGGTGCTGCAGTCCTTTTCTGGGGGCACCACTTAGAAACCTATTCACACTTTCAAGATCTCATGCAGCAATTTGTTTCACACACTGATGTGAGAGAGAGAGAACTCAAAAGAGAAAGGAAAAACATAAATGTGGAGTAATTTTCCTTCACTTCAATGGAATAAACAAATGACAACTGAATCCATCACAGAGCCTCTCTGGCTCTTGCTGCTGTTCACAGAATCCTAACACTAGAGCTCAAGGTCAGATGGAAAATGCCTACCCCCTTTACAATCAAGAATCCCCTGAAATCCATCTGGATCATCCCTCCCAAAAGTGAAAATACAAAAGATAATGATGAAAGGAGATCTTGTTCCTGTTTTTTTTCACTGTTTGTTTAATCCTCGATTTCATTCTGAAACAATGGAGATTGTGCCGCTGGAGATGCTCCCATGGCTATCTTCACATAGAGTTAATGCCCTCTCTAAATTAGCTACAATGTCGGTCATGGTTGGCCTGTCCTTCCCTTCCAAATTCACGCAATGCATCGCCGTGTAAGCCACCAGCTCGACCGCATCCGCCTCGTTCGACTCCGGCGACCCCACCCTCGAGTCCAAGATCTTCGCCAATTCCCCTGCCATTATCACAGGAACGGCAAAGTCCACGATGCTAATCGGCGTCCCTCCATCCTCGCCGCTCTTAAATATCGCACGCTTCCCTGTTAGTAATTCTAACAACACCACCCCTAGGCCATACACATCGCTCTTCGCAGTCAACACATTTAGACCGTAGTACTCGGGATCGATGTACCCTACTGTTCCCGCAGCCTTGGATGGTCTGAGATCACGATCGGATGCAGGACCCATCAACGACAATCCAAAATCGGACACTCGGGCCGTCCAGTAAGTGTCTAGCAGTATGTTAGAAGATTTGATGTCTCTGTGTATAATGGGAGGCACTGCATAGTTGTGTAGATATTCGATCCCTCTGGCGGCATCTAACGCAATCTTGATCCGCATCTTCCACGAGTTCACAGGACTACTACTTCCCTCGACATTGTCTTTATTATGCAAGTGATCGTAAAGAGCTCCATTCTTCATGTACTCATATACTATTAGCCTCTCCTCTTTTTCTTCACAATACCCAACTAGCCTAACCAAGTGTTTGTGGTGAAGCCGAGACAAGAACGAAATTTCCGATTCGAAAGCGCTTTCTTTCTCCTGGAACTTCTTCGTCCTTGGACCGGTTTCACTCCTTTTTATGGCAACTTCACGACCATCAAGTAATTTCCCTCTGTAAACAACACCAAAGCTGCCGGCTCCGATTTTGTTCTCGAGGGAGAAGTCGCCAGTGGCCGCTGCTAGCTCTTCTAAAGAAAATTCCTCTGCCTTATCGGCGTGCTTTGAAGAGGTTCCACTTCTCTGGCGCCTCATCGCTCTTGAGCTCTGGCGCCTTATGGTGGATGATCTTGAAGGAGGACTAGTGTTCGATGTCGTCCCGCCGTTCGAATTCCCCCTAGTAATTGTAGGTTGAACTGAATTATGCACCTTCTTTTTCCCAAAACATACCCCGCTCCACAAGCAGTAAATCATCGTGCAAATTCCTGCTAATGCTCCAACTGATCCAACAATCGCAAAGGCCAACAAGCCCCTTCTAAGAGCTCGTGATGGGGAGGATGGAGGGGAGATCGGCGCCGGTGGCAATGGCGGCGGCATTGATTGTGAAGGAGGTGGAGGGAATTGTAATTGGTTAGTACAAGGCTGGCAAATCACACCAGAGCCGCTGCATAGAGACTGTGACAGACCATAGATGCCACATTCACAAGCTGACTGAACACATGGCCCTGGAAGTATTCCTGTCAAAGGAAGCTCCGCGAGCCCCCCAACCGACTCACTAGGCCAACCAGGACCCCAACATATGATCGACAAATTACCTGATGTCAATCCACAAGTGAAATTCGAACCCGAAACAATCGATTCGAATGAAATTACATCAGTACCATTAGCTGAATACTGGCCATCGCCACCCCAACAAGTGACAGTGTCATTCACTTGCCTGAT